TCCATAATTATATTTACAGATAAAATTATATAATAGTCACTGAAGACTGCATGTCTATAACCTCCAGATTTTCAAGCACAGAAAAATACTCAAAAACCACAATAGTTAGTTTTTTAACAAATGATTAATAAGGAGTCCTCTAGATGTCTCCCTATGGCTTTACTGTTTTAGGCTATAGGGATAGCTGCTGGTCAAAGTTTAAATAATTCAATATACAAAATAATCAATTAGAATTTAGAGTTAAATAAATAAAAAAATCGGAAAGGGGAATGTGGGCTCATGCGATAAAACTCATTTTTAGACACAAAAAAAAAATGGTAGGTACTAGGTACTATAGAGACTCTATAGAGACTCTTTTTTTACTCTATAATAGAGTATAGACCTGTCCAAAAAATATTGTGAAAAAAAAATGATATTATTATGGTATATCAATAGCTTTATTATACCCACCAATCAATATATTATTATATTCATATTGTGATTGTATATACCATAGAGTATACTCTATGGTATATACTATCTAGTATCTAGTATCAATCCATATATAGAGTACACAGATATATAAAAATACTAGATAGACGACTCCCTATTCCTACCATGTAATAATTATGAAGCCAACAAAATGGCCGAAATACTCTTATCTAAGAGGTGAATGTTTACAAAATATAAATTATGATAAACCACAGAACAATACAGAAGCGACACTCTGCTTGGTGGTCGATCTCTGGTGGTTTAGTGTTGAAGTTGTAAATGATTACCTGGTGGTTTAGGAGTGTTGTTATGAACGATTTTTTTTTTACAATAAACGGTTTGTTGTTTGTTTGCGTTTTAATACTTTCAGTTATAACTTAACCGTTCTATGCCTATATGGCTTACGGCTACCCAACAACAACTATGAACTTATAATTTTTCGCATTTCACGTTCGACATAAATTATAAATTTTAATATAATTTATTATCATTTCTGTGTTATCATAATGGTATCAAGTATCAACTATCAATTATTGAAATATATGATATGACCCGTCAGCTGATTCTCATAAATAACAAAATGGCAGTGCCCATGAGTTCAAGGCCGTGTCCCCACTTTTTTCAAATAGCATTAGGAATTGTGAGAGTGTCGTACCCCTGGATAAACTGTGATAATTTTATGGCGGGAATCAAAAACTATTAAATATGTATTACAAATTACAATATTATTAGTCATTACAATAATACAATATCATACACTTACTATAGTTACAATACGGACTAAGATGTACTTATAATTTTTATTTTATAGTATGTCTTAGTCCTTGACTTAAAATTAAGATTAAAAGTATAATTTATTGCAAAAAATGAGAAATACAATATAGATATAATAAACAAGTTTCAAGCTCGTCCAATAAGCACATGCTTGAATTCTAATGATCTGAGTTCATATTAAAAATGAACTAAAATGAAAATAAATTTAACTTTATGTTATGTCATATTACAACAAAATAAAGTAAAACAAAAAAGATTTAATTTTATATTAAATATAAGAGAAAATATTATTAATATATATCTTATACTTGGTGAAATTACAAAAATTGGTTGAAGAAGTTGAGTTCCAAAATAAATGCCATTAAATGGTATAATTAAATTACAATTATTTTATGATCTTGTATTTACAACCATACAAAGGATGGAATTTACTTGTATTAACTTTAAACATACGGTATAATACAATATGCAGTTCATAAGTTTTGACCAAAAGTTCAATCCTTAAACTCATGGTAAATTATATTAGTAAAATATGATTTAGTTTTGTTAAGAATGATTTTTATTAATTCATTTATAGTTTAGGGTAAGACATTGTTGTGTAATGTGTATAGGAGTATGTGAAGCCACACATCAAAATCAAATACAAACATTAAATATAAAAATCTTGATTTAAAAATAATAAACCTATGTAATAATACATTTGCATTCGATAATAATATTTTTTATACACTTCAATGTGATAATGTTCCTTTGCTAGATAGACCCCACGAGATGGTATTCATTTCATTATTAGTTAAAAAAATATCTAAGTATTCGACTCCATTCTTTTGGCAAAATGTTTTCAACAGAAATTTTAAATCCTATTAGTAAAAGACAAAAATTAACTAAACAAATATTTTTTATTAACCAGTAGTAGGTATAAAATATTATATGTAGTATAGACTATAGGTACCAGTTTTATTTTAAATATTTGTATTATTATTAAATTAATTAATATACTATTTTTGTTTTATTTACTTGAAATATTTTATATTTATTACTATAATATGTAGCACTAGTATAGATACAAATTTTGTTTTATTAATTTTAAATATTTTATGATTATTATTATACAAGGTAGTATACCAGTTTTGTTTTATTGATTTTAAATATAGTTTTTCAAAAATAATAAATGGATGTAAAATTTTTAATTAATTAATTCAGATTGTTTTTAAAAATATTATACAATAGAACAAATTTTTATAAAATAATGTAATATTCACATGCACCATTACATAATTTACATAACTGTTGAATAAGCTAAAAGTTGATAATATGTATTTAAGACTTATGTAAGTAAGTTAAGTTATTAACATCATGAACTAACTATACAACTTTAAAGTTTAAACTTATAATTTATAATATTAAATATTGATCATATTATTATGACAAATTAAATAACAATAATATCTTTATCAGTATTATGAAAATGTAAACATTCACCTCTTAGATAAGAGAATTTCGGCCATTTTGTTGGCTTCAAAAACATTTCCAAGTTATCTATCTAGTATTTTTATATATCTGTGGTGTACCTATCTGTTTAGCTCTATTAAACACATACATCTATTACAATACACAATACACATATGTATTAAGTATACCTAAGTGGCTAAGTATATATGTAGTTTAGTGTTATTACTTTTTGTCTTGCTATGTGAAGAAATAGTTACATTTAGTATTAAATACTCATGAATGAAAAGATTAGTGTTATTAATTTAATGCACAAGATTAAGACTCATAATATCACCGTTATGGATGTCTTATGTTATGAATAAAACTAAGTGATTCATTAGGATAAAGTACTCAATATGATTGCAGTTAGATGACATTATATTATAGGTAGGTACTCAACTGACAACTAAACAACTGTGTAATTGTAATTATACCTAATTCAAAGAAGTGTATAGCGTATAGGAGTATAGGACACTATAGGTATAATAGGTAACCTATACGCGATTGAAAGGAAATATAGCGCTCTAGTAGTCTAGTCGATACTAATGATAAGGCTAACGGGGAACATGGTCGCCCACATAATTATGATCATACATTATACAACTAATAATATACATACAATATTACAATAAATTACAAATAATTAATTACCTATTTATTAATTCCTATTTCGTGTGTGGTATTGTAGTCTTTGTAGACCAGTAGACAGTAGTACTGTACTATACACACCTTCCCCGTTTTAATAGTTCTGATGACTTCCACAAGGTAGCGCCTGTTCCGCTTTCAATCCACAGATTTCTATATAGTACAGAAGTGTAGTATAGAAGTCTGTGTTTCAATCGCGAATAGAAGAGAATATAATATATGCTTGGATACAATATTCCTAGCTTTTACCTTTAATTGTATGTATTGATTATGCTTAATTAAACATAGTTCATTTTAAATTAATCAATCAATGACCAATGTGTATTACTGTAATAACTAAATAATATTATAAATTTAAAAGTATAATTAATTATTTGAATTCGGCGGACAGTGATAATGTAATATATTTTGTTGTTTATAGTTTTAGTCGCATTATAAAACGGCCACAGGCTGCGCTGCGTACGCTAGGGTTGCTATTTTAACCCGCGTAGTATACAAATTATTCATGTTTTTTGTGTTTTTTTTGGAAAATGTATGCATTATTTTGAACCATGACAATCTTTAGATATTTTAGCTCATAAAATTACGCGTTCATGCATGCGCATATGTGTATATTTCATAAACATTTTATTCAAGAAACAAATTTGAGTGTAACGATACATATATCGGTATAAAACCAAGATCTATCCTCAGACCGTGATAAGTGTTTGAGATACGTGGCTTAAGATCACGGACTAAGATATACAGGACTGGACACGAGATGAATATTGTGGTTACGAAATGTAGTACAACAGGCGGAGTTCGGGGGGATATTTTCCTTTTAGCATTACTATAGCGCCGACTTAATGGATACTAATGGAACTAGAACACATCATACAGATTTCTAGTTCCATAAGTATCCACTAAGACAGCGCTAGTAATGCTAAAAGGAAAATATCCCCCCAAATTCCGCCTGTTGTATAACATTTCGTGGTCAACGTCTCACACCCTCCAACCATGTCGTGTCCAGTCCTGTATATAATCATAGAACAATACAACCACGACCGCTATCTACAGCCGTGCTTACAACAAATTCTATGCTACTGTGTTACTGTTGAATGTTTTGATTATGGTGTGATAAAATCGTGGGCGGATAATGACATGTATAATAATAATATTTTAAATTTAAGTTTTATTATTTAGTATTTATCATTTTAATTTTTTAGCAGTTATAGTCGGGTGTAGACACTAGGCAGTCTAGTATAAGTAGATAGTTCGTGTGGATTATCAAATTCAATATTTAATATTATTATGATCACTTTTTGTCATTGAGTTAATTTTAAAAGGATCCTTCTTACCTTTAAAACCATGTAAGTCGTAGTTTTAAAAATAAACTTTATTTTGTGAGTGCATTTTTTAAAAATAAAAATACAACCAATTTTAATTAATTTTATCATGGTTGAAATCAATTTTCTTTTAGTTACATATGCCCAAATTATTTTTTGTTTTGCTTTTTATGCATGCACGTAATATTCAAAAATATGGTTATTATTTTATTGAGTATCTTCTTTTTTTCTTAAAATACGTATCATAATAATTTTTATTTTTATATTATATGTATTATGAATAATGATTGCAGCATGACTGCTGATAGAAGAACAACTACAGACTATCGTTTACAACTTTTACAAGAAATGCGATGTCAGAATTATGATATGATTCGTTTTGCATCATATAGAACAGCGTGTAAACTCAGATATGTCCAAAAAAAAGTTTATTGTGAGTATTATTTAAATGTATTAACATGATTCCATTGAATTATTTAATAATTAAGTAAACAAAATTTTTTGTCATTAAATATGTTGTATTGTTTTATTATTTTATTATTATTGTATCATTACTGTGTTATTATTGTATTCTAATATTCAGTTATGAACTATATTATTTTAAACTATTGTAATTGGATTGTTTGATCCGTTGAAGTAAATAAATTAATAAATAAAAAAAATAAATAAATAAATAAGTGCAATAATTGTTATGGTATAATTAGCAGTTAGCACATGTACATTTGTTTTTAATAAATGTGATTAATTTTGTTTTATTAAAATTCGTTTAATCTAAAATAAATAAATATGTATCTGTTCCTGAACAAAATAGGTGATATTGACGGTTATGGTTAAATATAATTATTTCATAACTTATAAATTTATAGGTAGAAAAGGCGGATTAATAATTTAAATAATGAATATAATACATACCTAATAATATTTTACAAATACTTTTAATACATCTAAATCACTAAAAAATAAATATAAATATTTTACTGTTGCAGATGATACTTTAAATCAGGGGTGCCAAACGGGTGGACTTTCTATTTTCTTTAACCCTTGCCCATTTGTGTATTACATGGTAAGAGAAAATGGGTCAAATTGCATAATGCATTTTTATATCTGTGGGTTAAATAAAAATAAATACTTAATGGAGGAATTTTTCATACAAAATTGTTCTTATTATTTCAGAAAAAAATTTGAAAAAAAATAAATGGAGACGCATTGATTTAAAACCACATTGCGTATGATCAATTTATCATAATTCTAGGCTTTTATTTAACCATAGATTTAAAAATTCATTGACATTATACAATTTGACTCATTTTCTGTTACCATGTAATAAAAATGTGCAAGGGTAAAGGAAAATAGAAAGAACCAATGAATCGGATAAGTTGATTACATTTAAGTCAACAACAATTAAGTTGGCCACCCCTCTTTTAAATTAATATTGAATTTGTGCCTGTCTCCTACTGGTTCAGTGTTAAATATACTTAATCAATGATATTATTAAGTAGTCATTTTCAAAAAAAATGTATTACAAGATTTTGGGGATCCCAAGTGGGTCACTACCGACAGTCGGCAAGACACGGCCACACTGGGTAATTTATGGAACTCATGGGCAGGCTCATATACATGAATATATGTGAATTATCAGACCTTAACTTCACCTATAACAATTTTTATTTTAAAACACTTAGAAAATATTCATGACTACAAACAATACAATTTCATTCAATGATTGTTCATATGTAGGGTACGTTACATTGCTACCTATTTGACAAATTTCATAAATAGCAAAAAGTAATTACTATTTACTACTATGTATATTATATATATTTAAAAAATAAATAAATTATAATCTCAATGTAAAGAATGACTTAGCAGAAAAATTATTTATTTCAATAGGTACTATTTACTATAGGTTCATTGAGACTCCTCACATTTTCTTTGAAAGAGTTATGAATTAAGATAATAAATAATGATGATTGTTTAATATTTTATTATACTGTCAAAATGTTAGATGAAATATTATAGGTACTGTTTAAATTTAAAACATGGTTGTATTCAGTTATAAATGTTATCATCATATTTCATTATTTTACAATTCAGTATGTCAAACACTAATCATTTATCAAAATTAATATTTATGTAAATATTTTTTTAGTACATATGATCGATATATGGAATGTTATTGAAGCTTTTCGTGAAAATGGATTAAATACACTTGAATCTCACGTTGAAGTAAATGTTTCCAAATTTGAGACACTTATAACAAGTCTGTATCTTAATTTGAATAAACGATTACCTACTCAACAACATGTACATGATGATTTATTGACTACAATTCTTCTTAATTGGATTATGTCAGTTTATTCTGCGTAAGTTAATGTTTTAATGAAAAAAATTTTAAAACACTTGTGAACATTGGTCCGGCATGTTTTGACTCTGTCTTTCAAACACACAACACAGCAAATTATATGTTTAGAAGAATCCATAAAAAAGTGCTTGTAACTTATTTGTTTTAACTTTAATAAAAAATCTGTTAAGGGCCCTAGAAAATATTCTTACCTTTAAATTTGATATCAGGAAAATTCACTCTTAATATTAAAAATATCAGTAAATTGGATTCTTTTTAACATACAATTTGATATGTTATGCGTTCGTAGGATTGAGTCAATATATGTGTATACAACATTTTGTTAATAGATATTTACAATTTATGTCTATATGCTATAGTATTATTTAATATAATTACTTTCATAATATTATGTTTTTGTATTAGATCATATTGTGTATGTAGAAATTATTTTCTAGTTTAGGTTAAATATCTTAAATATCTGCCTTTAAATAGTATGGGTAGGAAGATTAGAACTAATAACTACCTCTCATCTTCATGGGTACACATAATAAATTCTTAATTATACTATACTCTGCGTCAGGATTCAGGAATGGATATCACCGTTTTGTGCATGCAGACCGATGGCAGCGATCCTCTTAGGCACAATTTCCCCACTTTGTTTGGGAGACCGTATTGGTACTATAAATAAAAATTCAAGTGTCAAATGTTGCCAAAGTACCAGACATTAACGAATTGTTGTCATTGAATGAGGAATGTGCAGATTTGGACTAGTTTTGGTCAGGTCACGTTAATGTTTTCTTCTGGTGCAGAGTATAGTTCAAATAATTGGTTCAATATAATAATGTTTGTATCTAAATCTAAGTACTAACATTTATTTTTGAGGCTGTCTTCACACAATATTTGTTTTTGACTCATAAACCAGATGAGAAGAAAATAGTTACTGTACTTATAAAAATCTGTCTACTAATTCATAAATGTACATAAACTGATTAAATCAAAATTATTGAATAGTCTATATATATATGTTTCAATTTGTCTATGTTGACAGTAACAAATAAATATTACTATAACTCATATTTTAAAAAAGAAAATTGGAATCATAAGCAGTATGAATTATGATAACACATTTATATATGAAATATTTTTGCTGGTAATATATTATTAATATTAAATACTTTTTTTTTTACAGTAATGATACTATGGGAAGAATAAGAGTATTATCTATAAAAGTAGCTTTGGTTACAATGTGTTCGGGGAAACTTATGGATAAACTTAGATGTAAATTATTTAATACAAAATGTTTTATTTGTAAATAAAATTTTGGTTACCTATACATTTATTGATTATAGATATATTTTCGCAAATATGTGACCAAAATGGACATATGGTAGCTTGGAAATTTCGAGAATATTTACAAGAAGTATTATTACTTCCTTCAGCTGTATATGAATCTCCTTCTTTTCATTATACTGATCAGATATCGGCTGAAATATTTTGTGGGGTAAAATACATTTTAGTAATAATTTATATTTTTATTTATGAAATTTATCTTAACAATTTTAAATTTGAATCTTTAATCTTTTGTTATTTTTTTTTCTATTTAAAGAATGGTAAAGTGACTGTAAATGATTTTATGGATTCAATGATGTCAGATCCTGGACCTGCTTGTCTTGTGTGGTTACCATTATTGCATCGGTTAGCTAATGTTGAAAATGGTTGGTAAATATAAAATTAATATAGGAATTTATTAAAAAGAAAATTGTTATAATTATTTTTTAGTAACTCATCCTATTTCTTGTGATGCTTGTCGACGTGATAATTTTACCGGATTTCGATATCGTTGTCAAAAATGTCATAATTTTCAAATGTGTCAAGAATGCTTTTGGAGAGGACGAGTTGCATCTAGTCATACAATTGAGCATGATGTTAAAGAGTATACTAGTTATGTATGTTTATTATTCCACGTACACTTTAGATTCTGAGTGAAGCTATAGCTTGGCGAGGTACTCTTTTTGCAATAAATGTGCAGTTTTAATGGAGGTTTTTTTTTTAAACCTTATCTATATAGAAGTTAACATGAAATTGTTTCAATAAATTTAAAATAGATTGTTCCCTAAACAAATATTTTCTTTATATTCTCACTTTCTCAGAAATTTACATTACACAATATATAAGCAAGTAGGAATACTTATTTAAAAAAAATTACGATTGTTTTTGTATAAACTGAGCTTCACTAAGAAAGTAATAACTGTGTTTTGAATGCATTCATTTTTGATTGTTATCAAATTCAAAGTAATCGTTCAATACTCATAGTTTCCAGCTTACTTTACTGAAGAAGTTTTTATTTTACACTATAGAAATCTCCTAGTAAACAAATTGGGCATTCTCTTCGAAAATCATTTCGCTGTGTACCAGAAAAAGAAAAAGCCAATATACCACGTTTTCCTGAGGAGCCAGAAAAGACTATTAATTTATCACATATAATGTAAGGATAATAATTTTACAATACTTAAACCAATTTGTTGATTAATGTTATCCATGTTATGACAGACCTCCGTCACCTTTGCCGTGCCACAATGGGTTTTCTGAATTATCTATTAGTAGTCAATTTAATACGTTGGATAGTAAAACAAGTTCAAGAAGGCAAGTTAATTATGTAGTTAATATAACTATACTCTATACAATTTAAGAACTGTACACAGTGGTGCCAGTTTTCATTAGGCAGCTGTAAGACAACATCCATTTGTCAACCCAACTGGGTAAACCAACGCCTGCCGTGTAGTAATGCCACATCTCTGTTGTACAGGTCGGCCACTGTGTACAGTTCTTCATTTGAATAGAGTTGAATAAATAATATTTTCATGAAATTTTCTGCATTTTTTTCTAGTCCTGATAAGCGCACAATGAGTTTAGATTACACGTCAATGGATGATGAACATAAATTAATTGCACGATATGCTGCACGACTTGCTGCTGAAGCTAAAGTAGTAAGTTGTATAATGTGATGTTCCATGAATTTGAAACAATCACAGTTATTTTGACAATTTGTATATTATAATAACCAGTACCCAGATTTGTATGCCATAGCATTTGTTTTCTTGTTGATCATATTTATCAAATACCTACCTTTAAAATTATCAATGCATATTTTTGCAAATTTTTTAAGTTTTAAGGGTTATTTGAATTATTGGAAATACTTATTGATAAATCTAACAACTCAAGCTTGAAGGAAACAGAATAAAAAATATTTTATTTTTTTTACTATGATTTTTAATAAATAAGTAATTATAAAATATAGTTATTAATATTAGTATAATAACTAGATATACTGTTATGTTACAGACATACAGTAGAACCTTGATTGACCATTTAAGTTATTTTTTTTTTTTAATTAATCGACTTTTTCATACAATAATAATTGTACATGATATATTAATATGTGTGTTGTATATTTTTAAAAAATAATAAATAGTAATTATGCATGTTATAATTAAATAATAATAAAAAATGTGTATATTATAATAAGTACCTACATATTATTATGTCTAAAAATATTTCATGCTTAGCCATCTTTTTGATCATCTGACAAGGCTCTAGTCTGATAACTGACGGTTACCCAAGTTTCTACTGCAATTAATATTTATAATAAATACAAATAAATAAGAATATTTATAGTACCACCTCTAAGTTTAGGGGGCCCAGATGGAATCATATGGGGAAGGGCCCCAGTATGCAAAATAATGTAATCTAAAGTCACTAGAGTAATATAAATAATATACCTACCTATATCTCTAAAACTTATTTAACATAATTTATTTAAAAATAATGGCATGAATGGCATAAGTTTATTAATTTTTTACTAAAAACATTTTGAGCATTAAAACTACAAAAAAAACATTTAATTTAGTATTAATAATTAAATTATTATTACATTTTCTTCCTGACTTTTTGGAAGCAAAGTAATTTATGATATCTTCTCAGCTCAACTGTTCGGATAATTATTTTTTGGTACAAATTTTAACAAGTCCAGTGAGCCGTTTTTGGACATAATACTTTGTGAATAATTTTTAACTACGATTATAGTTGTTATTTATGCTTAAGAGGATGTGGTACCCGCAAGTGTTGTTTCCGTCTTACAAGTGTTAAACATAGATAATTCTACGTTCTGCAGATCACATTTAGCTCTGTTAGTTTAAAAATTAAAGTGAATTGTCCTTTTATAAAATTTAAAGGTAAGGTTATTATCTAGAAAATCTCAATATTTCATGTGATTTTTATTGTATTTTAATTTTTAAGCGAGTTATGAATATTTTAAGATGTACAGACAATTTACAATTTTAAAATACTCATAACTTGCATCAAAATTAAATTATAATAAAAAGTCTTTGTGATTGCCTAGATGATAATCTTACCTTTAAATCTTATAAGAGTTTAATTCTATCTAATTTTTAAATTAACAGAGCTACACATGTTCTGCTAAGCGTAAAATCGGGGACAACATATGCGGGCGCAACGCCCTCTTAAAAGAATATATGCAAGAGAACATATTTAATAAAATGCATATTCTAGTATTTTTTATCTAAATATAAATCTGAGCCCTTATTATATTATTATATTTATTAGGGTAGAGCTCCATCAGAAGGTTCTTTAAGCTTAGATACTTCTAGAGCTCAAAGAGAACTTATTATTCAACTGGAATCTAAAAATAGAGAAATTATGAAAGAAATTTCAAAACTTAGGTAGGTACTATATGACTTGTTATTGTGTGAAATTAGTATATTATATTTTAATAATAATTTAAATTTTATGTAGAAAACAACAAGAAATGGAAGGTTTTTGTTCTGGATTTTCTGAAGATAATCCAGCACTTATGAGTGAACTCCGTGCATTGAGAAATAGAAAACACGAATTAGAATCACATTTGACATCTTTACAGGATTCTAGAAGGCAATTAATGGACCAATTGGAGGGATTAATGAAACTTCTGAAAGTAAATAATTTAAATAATGTATATTATACATACATTCTAACTAGATGTTAGTTAATTATAATAGTATCAATAATTTATACTTTGGAATATAATTTTTATATTCTGGTGCATTTATGTTTTTTTTTGTGTCTGTATACACGATATACAATAGAAAAAAATGATTCAATCTTGAAATTTAAGGTTGGTTTCTGATAAAAAAAAATTGGATCTAGTTGATACTTTGAAGAGGTCAACATTGATAATAACTAGTATTTGTCAAAAAACCGAGTAATCAGGAAAACCGAAAAACAAAACCAGTTTTTAACAAAATTGATTTGGTTTTTTTGGCGTAATTCAAAAATAAGTACCTGTAGATATTTGAAATTTTATCCAAATGTTTATATTAGCTTTGTCTATACATTATGCAATTTTCAAAATATTTGAAGAATTTTGAGCTATTTAGGCATTTGACATTTTGGTACCTTATAAGATTTATTATGGCGATTTATACATAATACTAAAAAGGTGGGCAAGCAGATATCGCTCTGTTGTACAGTAGGTTACAAGTGTGTCACTGTATAATGGATGGTATTAAATTTGAATTCAATGATATAATACCATTGTAATGATTTTGAGCAGACACTGTTTTTCAGTGTAGATATTTTATAATGTTTATTGTTGGTACTTTTTATTAATACGGTATAACTGATTTTTGATAAATGTTGTCAACAATCAAACTTTAAATACTTGTAAAAAAATGTGGCTATGTATTTTTAATATTTTTTAACTGCTATTCTTACAATATATCAGGAGCTTTGTATTCAATTTTCATGCTTTTTTACCAAACAAATAAAATTTACATTTACATTTATAGAAAAAAAAAACTAAAAAAAATTTCAAATCTAAAATATCAGTTAACAGCTCGAAAACAGCCAAATTATTTGAAAATTTTATCAAGTATAGAAATTGATAAAATTAACATATGATATAAATTCTGTGTCTACTGTTATTTGTGAAATTGAGTGAATGTTGTAAAAATTTGAACTTCAAACTTTCATAAACATTTAATTTGACTTATAGATTTTTTTTTTTTTTAAAGGTAGATAACTAAATAAGGAATCTTGTATTATATTTTAAATTTTTTGATTTAATAAGAAAAATTTAATGAATTTCTAACTCAAAATAATTTGCACATTTTTGTGATTTTTATGCTTCTTGTCAAAATTCGAACTTTAAATGGTTATAAAAAGAAATATTGTGACTATGAATTTTTAATATTTTTTAAATGTATTTATTAAAAAATATTAAGAGCCTTGCTTAATTAAATTTCAAGTTTTTTACCCAACAAATAACATTTTATTTACATTCATAGAAAAAAAGTTCTAAACAAGTTAAAACATTTTGAAATGGTGTATAGTAAATGCTGATATAAATGTCCGGAGAAAATTGATTTTGATTTTGTTGAAAACCAATTTTGCATAAAAATTCCTATTTTTCCTTAATTTTTTGTTTGTTTTTCCCGGCACTTTTGAAAACTACTGGAAATTTTAAATTTTGACCTACCCAATGCACCAACTAGTTTCACTTTTTCACTGATTCATACACCAGTTTTATTGTCACATACGGTGATGATTGAAACACAAATTTAAACAAAAACACATCATTGTAAAATCAATAATTCATCGCTTAGAATCTAAAATATATCATCATATATTTTTTTTATAAACATTGAAATATTTAAAATCGAGACACTTCTGTATTATTTGTAGTTTTTCAATTTTTATAGCTCAAGCTTGACAATTTAAGATAAGGTTCTTCATAAATAATTCATACTGAAATCAAAAAATCTAATAAGCATTTAAGTACTTAAATTAGATATTTAAACAAAGAATAACAATTTCAATATTTTTTTAGAATCATCAAGGGTCTCCACGTTCAACTCCAAATTCATCGCCACGCTCAACTAAATCTCCTCCTCCTTCAAAGTCAGCACCTCCTACACCCGGTGGAACATTGACTTCAGCTTCATCTTTGTCTCTCATGTCCACATCTGACTCATTAATGGTTGGTGATGTAAGATCAGCATTTACCGGCAACTCTCTAGCAAGTAGGAAAACTATATCATTTTTCTTTTAAAAAGATTGTAAATTAATTAGTTTGTATTTTTTGTAAAGGTACACCTGTTAATTCATCAAGTTTAAATTCTGGGGCAAGTGGTTCTGTCACATGTGGCAATCGAAGTTTAAGAAATGATTTGTTAGTCGCTGCAGATTCAGTGACAAATGCCATGTCATCATTAGTCAAGGAGTTAAACTCCGGTAAATATATTATATTACATTTTATTTACTTATACTTTGTTCAGAAAGAAAACATGTCAATACCCTACCATTTAAACCGATTTAACCATGACAGGGTGTTGCATAAGAATTAAGAATACAAAGAAGAACGATTTTTGCTTAGCATTGCATGTTCTGTCATAATAGAAAGTACCGTGTGATTCTTTTATCATTGATAACTCATTATTCCATAAAGTATAAATATTTTTGAAAAAAAAAAATTACATAGTTTCTAGTCAGGCTCGTACACAAAAAAAAATTTGGGGATTCTATAATCTATATATATAAATAAAGTACACAACTATTAATTTTCAGGGGGGGGGGGGCTTAACATTTTCATTGTTATTTACTAAACTATGCAATATTAATGTTTTTTTAAAAACTTAAAACCACGTATAAATACATTTTTCAAAAACATTAACACATTTTGAATAATATGTCCTATGACTCCCACATTAAATTAATCACCCGGTTTAATTTTATTTATTTGATTTAACTTATATTGTACTTACATTAAATACATTCATAGAAAGCCAAGTGAATGAAAATATATCCAACTCTGCAATTCTCAAACCATTAGGCTACAATTCCAAAGAAGATGAAAATATAAAAATTAATAAAGATTTTAGAAGTGATAGTTTATCCAGAAGTCAATATAATAAGGTAAGATATATTTAAAATTAATTTAAAAAAAATAATTTAGTTTTAAATAACTTAAATAAGTACACTGTGCACATATATTTTTAACTCTTTACTATAATATTGTTTGTAGGCGAAGACACAAAATAATCAAACGGATAGTTGCACATCCCCTGCTAATGTAATTATATGAATTATTATTATAAGTAGGTCCCAGATTTTATGCAAATGCATGTTTTTCAATACTTGAATTAGAGTAACGCTTATTAAACATGTTGATATTTCATAACTTAGATTCTATGGTTGATTTTTTTTTTTTTAATATTTCGCATATTTGTTTAAAAATGCATATACATAGCAGATTTCTAGATAATTGCATAACATCTTATATATATTCAGAAATATTAAATAAAATTAAATATATTTTATTTAAAGTTTATTACTTTCTTGATTTTTAATCAAGTAAGTATTATAATTGAAATGAAAAAAGTCTGAATTTTGAAAACTTTCAGAATTTGTGTTAAATAGGAAAATAGTAAAAATGTAACTCAGTAATGGTGAGTGAGTGGGTAATTTAGCTAGCTTTAATATAAAATATTAATGAGAGAGATTTGATATCACACCCAAGCAAATCTTGAATACTTGAACAGTCCCAACATTTCTATTTTTTTATTTTACTCCTAAATTATAACAGCTAGAAAGTTGGTTGATAACTCATTAAAAAAAGTTTATCAAGTAGATACTAAATGTGGAATTAATATTTTTTCTAAAAAATTATTTAATTTATCACAGATAAAAAAAAAGAGTTATTAATAGCTTAATTTTCATTTGAATTCATTTAATTTAATTTTTTTAAATTTTTTTTTATGTTCTGTAGTGAATTAATTATCTCACTAAATGAAAATGAAAATGATTTTTTGTGGGGCTGTTCTAACCCAAATTTTTCTGGATTCAAATTGTTATACTGCTTGGGTGTGACATCAGTTAATAAATTTCTAAAACCTAAAAATCAAGAAAGTTTACATGCCAATCCCTGACTTGGCAAGCGTTATTTTCAGGGCATGAAACCGCTTATGAAAAATTTGGTTACCGGGTACCAAGTTCAGTTAAGGGGTGTAGTGGTAACATTTTTTTTTTAAAAAAAACTGGTCAATTCGATAAAACCGGAAATATCAAAACAAAAAAAAAACCGTTATATTTGATTTTTATTGATTTATATTTTTTTTTTTTGGAAATTGTATTCTATATTTTTGATTAATAATTTTATTTACAAGATAATAAATGTAATGTAATAATAAGTACGATTAAAAATGGGATACTGTCTGTAGCCGCAATAATAAGTAATAAGCACCAATCGTAGATACTAAGTACGATTCATTGGTTCATACTTCATAAACATACTGTAGAACATATTAGATGATAATTATTTATATTTTATTTTATTGTTATTGACGCCGTTGATTACCACTTTTCATGAACTATTTTTCAATTGATATTATGGATAATTTACTAATTTAATTTAAATTTATATTTATTCATAGCTTCAAATGATAAAATATAGCCATATAGGTATTTATTTTTTAATTTAGCTTGTCCCTGAATCGCTTTATAAAGTGGATATATGTGTTGTGTAAATTGAAGTAAAACTAAAATTTTCCTAAAAAAACATAAATGCAAAAAACCGTTTCCAAAGTGGTTATTAGTAATCTTGAAGAATTAAAACCGGTAATCAATTAACCAAATTTTTCATAAGCGGTTTCATGCCCTGGTTTAAAGTGGCTCACTTGTTATAAAAGGTTGGCAACCCCTGGTGTACTATGTAGATACAACTATCCAGTCATTATATTATACTTATATAGCCTTTATATTCCTCGTATATAGATATCCATATTTTATGTACTTTACTGATCTAAGCGTCTATACTCTATTCTATATATTATACCACACAGTTTAATTTCTAATTATACAAGATTAGACATAATTTGTATTTTAGTTAGCTTCTGTTATCATCAGTCAGTCAAAACAATTATCAATACATTTAACTTCAACCTATTCCAAATTCACAAAAATTATTTAATAACAACTTGTAAAAAATGTTACTTGCAGTTATTTTATTAAATGTCCAATGCATAGCAGAAACTAACATATAATTAGAAAAATGTAGTGCTAATCTTGGATACATTTTTATTTTGCTGTCAATTAAATAAATTTTTTTTATAAATTCATAGTAAATTATAAATTAAAATCTTATTTATATACACATACACTAAAGTATTAAATTAATATACATACAAGAAAATATGCTATACAATAACCTAAAATAGAATACAAATGTTTTTGTTTTTAAATTTATTATTACATTTTAAGGTCTTTTAAATTGTATGAAATTAAGTTAATGTTCATATACTTGTTAATAGTTAATTAAACTCATAAATTGTCATAAGCTTTTAATTTTCAAACGCAATTATATAATATTATTAATAAAATATTGTTCAATTGTTTATTTAGATGAGACGTGCTACTAATTCTGGTTCAAAAAATAATTCTCCAGAAGCTGATTCTATGACACGATGGCGATAATTTATTACTTTATTTTTCAGTCATTATATATGGTTTGATTCTTTGTATAACTTTACTGTTTTGATTTATTTTTTCATAAATCATTTAAACTTTGAGTATTATATAATACTATTACTAATGTGTATTATAGTTGTACAATTAAGTCATTATTATTTTTTTTTATGTTATGTGTTTACTTTTTAATATCTATTGTTGATTAGGTTTAAACTATTCTATTATTCGACTAGCTATACTTATAACTTACTCATAAATCATTAATGATTATTGCCTAATGAAAAGTATTATAAAATATGATATTTAAAAGCATTAGTTTGGAGAGTATAATATTAGTCTTCCAATCTTTTAATTAATTGTAAAGAAAAGAAAGTATTATGTGTCTTTTGAATTTACTTTCAAACAGTGGTCTTCAATCTGTGGCCTACCTTTTCATTGTTTGAGATCCTCGGACACATTTTAAGCATAGCATATAAATTTTAATCATTTAAACACGTTGTTATTACAAATATAGCCTGTAGATTTAAAAAAAAACAATAGGCCTACTGCCTAAAAAGGTCGAAGATCCCCAGATTTAAAAAAAACTATTTATAATTAGAACTATACCAATAAATACAATTTTTTTACCATCAATTTGGTAACTTGAACCTTCAATATTAAAATTCTTTAAATGCCATATCCCTGTTAACTTCCAGTTTTCTAGAGTCAACTGTTATTTTATTGATTAACTGTTTTTAAATATAATATTAATTTAAGGAGACACTACATTGGAGTATTTTGGTTTTTTAAAATTAAAAATGTACTTTTTCCAATGCATTAAGTATGTACTCATTTAAAAATATATTTCAGTTTTAATTTTTATTTATTTTCAGATTACGCCTTACAGAGTATAGTTAAATATAAAATAATTTATTTTCTACCAAAAACAGGAAGGTGTTAAGTATAAATCAATTTCGTCAATTTTCATAAAAATTTAACCTTATTAGGCAAATATAATTGTATGTCGTATACTCGTATGTGTTAGGTATATCTTAGGTATGTATTTTTTTTAATTACCTAAATTAGTTTTTAAAGAAGTATTTAACTATGGTATTTGTATTATTATTAATAAATGATAATACACAATAAATTAAACTTGTCTTTAATTGTTTGACAATTTATTAAAAATGGATTTTTATAATTTGGAACTTTGTGTATTATTTATATATAATTACTATCTGACTTTGAATAAATAATATTAAATTATAACATTAACAAGTGTTATTATTTATAATAATTTATAAATTATTTCAATTTAGTTTCAGATTTTGTTTTCAATTCAATCTAAGAAACCGGGAAACCCACTCTGCTGTATAGTTAGTTTCAAATGTATCTCGACATTGAGTAGAATAGATTAAATTATAATGGATGTGTTTAGTTTGAATTCAATGATAAATCATTGTAACTAAAAATTATTCAATTGCAGGCCTGTCAACCTTTATTATTTATTAAGGAATCCTTAAAGTAATAAATAGGTTAGGTTAGGTTAGGCTTTTAATACTAGGTATTAATAATATAATTTAATATTATATTTATATAATATTACTACATTATATTATGTATATTAATTTATTTATGTTATTAACACCCCATAGACGAGCAAATCAAAATTGACTCAAAGAAATTCTTAGAATTTTTTTTTTGGCTGAAGAAAACTGATTCCTTAGACAAAATTTACTCCTGGTCAGCAGTCTTGTAAAGTACTTGAGTAAAAGTATTTGAGTAAAAGTATTCAAATATTTTTTAAGTACTCAAATACGTATTCTAAATACATTTGAAAAAAGTACTTGGGTATAGTATTTGAATACTTTTTTGAAAGTATCTGTATTTAAAATCAAATACTATTTTTAAATACTTTTACTTTATTACCAAATTTAAATAAAATAATAAAAATTTGAAATTGTAGAAGATTTTTAATTATAGATCGTTCATGGTGTGTTTTGGTGGGTATATTGTAATATTTTTAGTGGCCTATACTAGGTAATGTGTATCCATTTAACTGAATGTAAATGCTGAATATTATTCTTCTTCTAATTAATTTAAGTAAAACTAGAGTGCTAAAAAAAAAAAAATATTTAGTTGACTAATAATTCAATTTATCTATAAGGTCATTAGGCTAAGGTAAAAAAGTGAAAAATATTTAAAAAAAAAAAAAAAAAAGTATTTGAGAGTATTTAAAAGTATCTGTAAATACTTTTTAAAAGTATTTGTATTTGTACTTAAATACTTTTTTTTCGAGTATTCAAATACGTATTTTAAATACTTTTGAAAAAAAGTATCTGTATCTGTACTTGAATACTTTTTAAAAGTATCTTTTACAAGACTGCTGGTCAGATCTGTGATATTGTTCTACACACACATACAGGCCTGGATTGAACCGGTTAGCTATGTGGACCGCATACAAATTGGGCCGGTAACTAAAAAAATGGGACTATTTTTTTTTTCAGGCAAAAGTAATCCTAGTCTTTCTAGGTAGATATATAGAATTATATAATATATAAATATATAAATCAAAATTGATAGTTAATAACAATGAATGCTTCAGTTGTATCACAGATTAAATTGTCTAATCTGTGGTTGAATACTTGAATGTATTGGGCATTCCATTCCAGAAAAATATGAACTAGAATTTCCTAATTAAAAGTGATATTATATCTACCTATATAAAATTTGACCGCTCTGATGTACATAAGGTATTGTGAGGGTCACTGATAAGGGTGAAATTTGAATTTAATAATATAAAATCATTGTAGGTATATACGAAAAACGATTCTGAGCGTGTAGAATGTCTGTCAGCCTATAATACCAATATTATATACCTATTACCTTCTAGCTGATCCCGTGCACTTCGTTGTTCGTTAAAAGTACCAACTCTATATGACTAAAACTTTGTTTAATTAGTTATTTAATATTCGGTGTATGGTGTTACAAATTTATCTTAACTTTTCCGTTGCACAGAATACAAATTCTGATTTGCAGCAGTATATTATCGCGGTAGATCGCGGACCCCGTGCTGTTTGTACGTAAGTGTATGATTTAATTCTAAAGTATCAAAGTTATACCAAGTTTGTCGTATTCCACCTATGGTAGATTGATATAATCGGCTAAAGTCTACTTTACCAACCCCCTAACGATTTTCAAATTTTTTTTTTTCAAAAGTTGTTTTTTATGCTTAAACGATGGTGTATTTTTTTTCCCCGGAAACTATTATTTTAGAAGTTATAGCCTTCCAAAGTTTACGATTTTACGTTTATGCGCATTCGCACAACTCTACTTGACTGCCACTCGCAGCGCCTAAAACAATTTTTTTTTTTTACGTATTTTAACAAGTTTTGGAACAATGGGACATAGTCAGTTTTGGGTAAATAATATTGTGAATCACGTCATTATTAAGGTGAAATATAAACTATAGTTGAGTACCTAATTAGACTAGGTATATTAGCCCAATTAAAATAAATACTGTAAAAATGTAAAATATATTAATTGATACTAATTTTAAATTTATACTAATTATAAATTATATCACACAATCATCATCTCCACTGAGTGACTTATTTTCACTGTCTGACTCCTCAGTTTCCTCTATCTCCACAGAATCAATTTTTGTTGCATCATATATAGATCCAGCCATTTAAAAAAATTCAACCAAAGGATCCCATTTTTGTGCTTTACACATTTTTTGGAACATAAACTTGGCTAAATATCCAGCAATGAATTGTTTTTTCCTATGGAATTGAGGTAGGTAATGTAAATTTAGCGTGCCGCCAAAGGCCTTCAATGGTGTTTGTGTGATGGCCACTTTCGGGATCCTTGTAGTTTACGGAATGGTTGACCTTAAAGTGTTTATACCCCTCCTCTTCCAAGCAATCATAAGCCTAAATAATAATTTGTTATTTAAAATTTAATTTACTTGAAAATTATTTGAAATCTTACTTTCCAACAGTCTGATATGATTGTTGTTCCCGGTAATATCCATTCCTCGATTATTTTGAGTAATGTATCCTTATCTCTACGCTCTACAAGAATTAAAAAGCAGCGATTTGATCCTCTTTTTTTATACACCACCAAACACCCACTGACCAACTACTAAATTACCTCTGTTATACTTCCTTTTTCCGAATTTGCTCTCATCAATTTCCACCTCTAACCCTACTCCTCCAATTGATGTTCTTTTTAAAACCAGGCACCACCCCATCATACACTATCTCTCTGTTAAAATTTGACCAGTCTACTGCTGTAGCACGACTGGCATCCAGTTATTTCATTATGAACGACTGTGTAACATTTTGGAGCCATAAGTAAGAAAACGAAATAATTTTGAATTTTTGAATGCAGGTAAATGTGATTTATAGAAAAATGTGCCTTTTCTAAGGGATATCTCATAATCACATTTTTTGGCCTTAGATTTATGTTCAGAATATAATGCACGGCATCTGTATAAAATTTAAATTGAATTATTAATTATTATTCTTGAAAACAGCGGGTTAGTTATTACGCTTTATTAGTGATAATTCGATTGTGATATGTGAATAATACAATGATTGGTATATTATAATTTACCTCCAATTATATCCATCTATGGTCGAATTTCTGGGACTCAGCTTCAATTTATGCCCTCTTGGACATAAGTAAACTCCTTCTTTGGGAATTAAATTCCAATTTTGAAGTAATGTCAGAACATCTTCATTGAGTACGCCAGTTGTATTACAGTTAAACAATTTAAATATTTGTAATAAATTTAATTCACTCATTTTATGTATAAACCGGTAAACCACTGTTGTAACGCTTAAAACAACCACAACAATATTACAGTACTAAATAATTTATAAAATTGAAACGACCGTTATTTCATGAACAAATGTTGCGTTCGGTGGTTTAATTATATTAAATATAAATATATGTCATTATATTTGATAAATACTAGTTTACTTATTTATAATTTGATCATTAAATAGCCTTAAAGTAATTAACGATATCATAATATGCTATTTAGGTACTTATATAATATTAGAACAACAAAAATAATATAATACAATGTTTTCGAAGCCGGCTAGAATAGAGCGGTGTTGGTGAGTTGCGGCCCAAACCCTAAATAGCGTACGAGTTGCGGCCCGGGTTTTTGAGGGGAACGTACGAATTGCGGCCCGGGTTTATGAGAGGTACGTACAAATTGCGGCCATACAATAATCTATATAGGTAGGTACTACATATATAATATATACTATAGTCTATACCTAGTACATGTATATAAACATCACAATATAAATTTATTAATACTACGTATTTTATAGTATTGTCGTATATTATTAATATGTGTCATTTCAAGAATATAAATAAAAAAAAATAACCTATTGTTTTGGTTAAAATACAATGTAATAAATAATTTTGCGTTTCTAGAATATAATATATAATGATAATAATATTCTATTGTTTTGGCAAAAACTTAAAACTTAACGATTTAACTAATTCAAAATCATCTATTTCTTTTAGCTAGAGTTTTGTCATCTGCTCTCTAATGAAAGCTTCTTTTTCACACATTTTCTTTGTTCTTACACTTTTACTTCTGAATTTTATGTATGTTTCAGATTGAACTTCTAGTAACACATCAACGAAGTTATAAATGTTAGGATGGCTAGTGTAGAACGACATATTTAGTTTTGAATGAAAACTTTCACAGCAGTTAGTAGTACGGTTGCAGCTAGCAGTAAATTGTGCCCAATTAATGCAAGTCATATGGCAGATAATACAATGAAACAATTTATATTATCTTTATTATATTATATAGGTAAAGATATAACTTGCCATACGTATCGAACAATTCGTTTATCACTATATGTATACTGTATAGCCATCTGACTGGTACATCTTACATAATGTAGTTACTAGCCAATAGGTACATAGATAATGATAATTTGTCGGGCCGCAACTAACCTACAGCTAAAATATTATCGGGCCGCAATTCACTGGTCTCCAACACCGGAAACGACACGCCGGGCCGCAACTCACCCACAGCGGAATAGAGATAAAGACATAAAGTTTAGTTCACGGTCACCTGTATAGTAAGTTTAGATATAGAATATAGGTTAATAGGTAACCATTAGTCGGTCATCTACCTGCGAAGATAATTTCTTTTTAACAACTTTGTTTAATTCCGAGGCCTACCAAAGGGGTGCGACTCGTTTGCGCACATTTACCTTTTTTACGGCACTTTTGCGCACGAAATCACAACTCGTTTGCGCACACATATTTTGGGTTTAAATTATAAAGGTACAACTCATTTGCGCACATTTAACTTTGAGCAGAATTTATAACTATCTATATTTAAACACTTTTTACCTCGACGCGTTTCAAAAATATCACAAATTTCGATATCCATAGGCACTAGTCAGTAGGTAGTACCGCTTTCTGGCGAACGACTGCTTAAAAATATTATGTTTAAGAGGACGCTACCCATACATTTGTTGTCTCCGTCTTACACACGCACGACATAGCAAATTGTCGTTCACTAGTTTCAATAGTACGCAGTTAGTTTTGATACTAGAGTGAATTGACCTATTATAACATATTTAGATAATAACATTATCTGTGCTTAAGCGTTGGCTTTTATTCGATATTTTAATTTTCAAGCGAGATATGAGCATTTTAAATTTTTGATATTTCACGTGCACATATCTTGCTTGAAAATGAAAATATTTAAAAATCGCCAACGCTTAAGCACAGATAATATTCTTACCTAATAGTATGATAATAGGTCAATTCACTCTAATATTAAAACTAACAACACACTATTTAAACTAGCGAATGGAAATTTGGTATGTCGTGCGTGTAACGACTAATGAGTAATGACTAATGATATATTGAATATTGATATGCCGGTCTTTAGTACTGATAATTTGTACCGATAATCAATTACTTTACGTAAGTCCAAATTTAAAAATATAAAATATAATATGTTATGCAGTGTTTATGTTGTGCGCAAACGAGTCGTCCGTTTTTAAGTTAACGACGGTATTCGTTGTGCTCAAACGAGTCATCGATATCTAGGTAAATAATTTGGATTGTGCGCAAACGAGTTGCACCGCTACCAAAGGCGGTTTTGCACAGCAAATCGGGGGATATTTTTGTTTTTAATTGTCCGAGTGAGCGTAGCGAGTAGGTAATTTTGAAAAATTGTGCGTATCTAATACTTAACAAGTTATATATATGCTTATTTCAATTCTCGATACCTATAATGTTTATTTGATTGTTGGTACTCACATGAACTCACTCTCATCTTCAGCACAACATTTGGCTTTGGAGGCGATCTATATAACAATAATTATGAATTTTGCATTAATGATGCATCGGTAGATAGCCAGGGACAAATATCGTATAAATTCATACATAGGTGTGCGGTGTGCCCATAGCTTTTTTCACAGGTTATGCCTAGGGTGTGCCCCCCCATGATATGAATGCTCTTGAAATGAATATATATGGCAGGATACAAGTTGGGGGTAGCGAAGGGGGCGCATCCCCCCGGCCACCACAACCACCAAATCCCTAAAAATATTTTTGTATTATGTATAATAGGTTAGGTCCAATATATTGGATCCAATTTTTTCTTTTTTATATTCCTGGTGTGTAACACGCTTTTTGATGTTTTAAGTTTTTACGTATTATGTTACAATTTATGCAGTTTAGTTGTACCTAAGTATAAAGACAATTGTGTCCCCGTGGCCACTTTATAATGTGCGCATATTACATAAAATATTTCTGGATCTACCCCTGGTAAATATGGTATTGTATTATAAACATATGGTTATTACTATTTATTATAAAATAATAAGTTTTTTATATTTGTTTCACTGTACAATATTGAGGCATAATTGACTTAAACAGTCAACATAGTATGTAATTTTATGCTGGATTTATTTTCCCTTTTTCCGTGCACTACGCAGAACAAACAACTGCACGGGCTATATGCTGTGCTCGAATTGGGAAAAATTAAGTAGAGGCGCTCAAACCAACGATTTAAAAACTGCATTTCAACTTCCAAGGGCCCAATTATTCAACACATTTTAACTGTGAGACAATTGTATTGTCTCATAATAACCCTCTCTCGCCGCCACTAAATATATATTTAACGCAACACGAAACGGTATATACATACAGTGGGAACCTGTTTATAGGTATTAAAATTGAAAATGTTATGAATTATTTACTGCGTATGAAATAATTTGAAAATTTGGTCAAATTTTGAACTTTAAAGTTCAAACACTTGTAAAAATATATTATGTGACCACTGTATTTTTTTGAAATTTTTATATTTTTATAAAAAAAAATTGGTGAATTCTGTATAACATTTTCAAGCTTTTAGACACTCAAGAAAAATAACTTTGTCTCAAAAAACTAAAAAACTGGAAAATATTAAATGTCTACTAGTAGCTTAAAATTTTTCTAAATTATATTTTGAGAATTTCGTTGCAATACCTATCGAATATGTATAAAAAATTACTGTCCAAAATTCTAAATATGTGGTTAATATAGACTAACTACTAAAACAATGTATAAGTATCTATTATTATAATATAAATACTCGTATATATATTATATATAATTATTATTTATTTCACATACTTTTAACCGTTATGTACGTCTTACATAATACGGTTCTTACACCTCATTAATTTTACGCATTTACGAAATATTTTCAAATGAAACTAGTATGAAACGTATAATATGTTGAAATTATTAATTTAAACCATTAACAAATTAAAATCAATATCTCGTCCTTGAACCAAGTTTTCAAATCTATATCTACTCGTTATATAGCCATATAGGTGTACAATTAATAATGTATAAGCTTGTGTGTGTATATATATACTCAAATGTGTCAAATATTTTTTTAAAACACGGACCTTGTAGGTAAGTACGGTTGTCATGACACACGTATATGTAAAACACATATAGTAGGTATAGTGCCCTCAATAAAAGGGGTCATCCGCGAGATTGTTTCATTGTAATATAGTTCAAAATATAACCGTGCTTAACAATCTTTTAAATGATTTCGGATGACTTGGCTTTGGGAAAAAGTAAGGAAGTCTTTCCTCAATAGGACGTTGACTTTTGCCGTAGTGCCTTGCGTCAGTAGATCTCCTATAAGAGATCATTTGCATTCAAAAAACGTAAGTAGATATTTTATTGCCATATATATATATATAAATATAATACATTTTTAATAAGCTTGTTATTTAATGAGCTGCCCTAATAAACCTACAATACATTTTGAACATATAGAAGTATAGAACATTTGAACATTGCAAAATTTAACATAGTTTCAGTATCAGACAAAATTTTGTTATTTGGAAGGAGCTCTTCAGGAATAATATTAGAAAAATTATCATTGAATATAGATTTTATTGATTTTAATTCTCGATTGATGTGGTCTAAAAATTATCAAAAATTAAAATGATTCTATAAGTTTTTGAGGCTTACTATTGGTGTTAATATTAATATGACTCCATACCCCTGTTTGATGACCACAAATAGTTGATGAACTTTAAGTTCTTCATAAAATATTTCTAATTTTTGAACTGCATTTAAAAATCAAGTCCTAAAAGTTGTTCCAAAATGTTGACGCATGCACTTTGCAACTTTGAACCAAAGTTCAAACAAATCATTACATTTTGATATTCATCATTGCACTTGATAAATCTAGCTTAGAACTTTGTAGCTGAATACTTAAAGTCCATGTGTATACAATTAAATAGGCCACATTTTCTACTTTTCTGATGAAATTATAAAATAGTCTATATAGGGTGAATAAACAGTGAATTCTTCAATCACAAACTACAATATTGTGATATTATTTTTCAGTAGGTAATATTAATATTATTGTAAAATACCATAGGACAATAAAGTTAAAAAAAAAAGGGTAAATACGCGGAGTGGTGGATGCTTTAGCTCCCAAGTACCACCTCCCCCCCACAATAAATCCAACTCTGAATTGATACAATGGAATTAATGAACATAAATAATTACAATTCACAGATTAATTAGTACTAAGTAGTTGTCCTTAAAATATAAATATAACTTTTAGATAGAAACTTGTGAAGAAACAGAAGATCATTGGGGGGATCGTCTTAGTCCGTGCCCTTTTTGTGGTCACGAAGATAGCCCGATTTTAGCTAGAAGTCAAAGATCATGCAGCGATCCTACAGTATCTGGATATTCTAGACTACCTCCAATTGTAAGTTCTTTTAAATATTTTAATGTAAATCTAATAAACTGGATAACCACGGCCGATAAGCCAGTTGCCACATACTAAATTAAAATTTGTTGTTTGAATTTGTTTGAAAATCTCTAATGACAAAAGTATTAAGGTTTTTCAAAAATGTTTTTATATACGCAAAGACTGCAAATTATATAAAAAAATATTTTCATAAATGTTAATACTTTTTGTGATACCTAATGAGTTTACTATTAAATGAATCATCCTGTATATTTTTTAAAAAGCTCTTAATTTTTGTAACATAGTTTGACGAAATTATTGTATATTTAATGTATGATTATTGATTACCTAGCTTATAGTATTTTAGAAATACCTATTTCAATATACAGGTATCATAAATTATATTTTCAGAGCAATTCAAACCAGTTTCTAACATATAGACCAACCATAGCTCCTATTAATAATCAAAATCAAATTGATCAGAGTTGTAGAAACATTCAAAAAAATCTTCAAATAGAATCTAAACCTCAATATCCAACTAGACACGAAACCAGAGAAGAATTTTTGTAAGTTTACTTTTTTATGTGTTAATCCAAAGCAATTTATTGGTGAGTTTATACTAGCTGAAAGTGTAAACGTGAAACTTTAAATCTACGGCCAGACTGTGGGACATATATTTTCCAATACTCACTCCAGTATCTATATTTTTAATGCTGAATACAAACTTTGTATTTTAGACAAGAAATACGAAAAGCTCGTAAAAATGAAAATTATATGACCGTTCAGCGTTTTTATATGAGGTTGTTCGATTCATTTAGCGAGATTTGTGCACTCTTTAAGGTATTTTTATTTATATTATAAGGTTTGGGGTAATTTTCTTTTTTACTGTATCTATTTCTAATTTTTAGATTAATCCAAATCAATCTGGAGCTAAACTAGATGACCCTGATCTTCATTTAGAATTTGTCTACGCTATAAATGATGCACTCAAGGACTTGGTATTATATCTAATTAAAACCTTTAATAATTATACATACTTACCTATCTACAAATTGTAAATTATTTAACTATTACAGTCTAGTGGAATTCATAAAATAGTTTTAAAGTCAATAATCAATGCATTGCTAGAAAATAATAAAAAGTGAGAATTTTTATACTTACCGTATTATTAATAAAATATATAGTATCACATAGATGCATAGCTATTAAATATTATTTATTATAGATTACCTATATTATTATAAAAGCACTTTTTTATTAATTGTATGTCCAAAGTCCTTGTTAAAATAGTTCATATTTTAGTAAAATAATTTAGTTTATATATTCTTAGAGTTAAATCAATATACAAGCATGCCTATCATAAACGGAGCTTGATAAACTTATTTTGAAGGGCCGAAGCCGCTCCATTTTCTAATAAGCTATTTATTATTTACAATGTAAATAAATACAATGAATAAAATATATCTTATATTTAAAATACTAAAATTAACCGGGGTGTACCAATTTTATATTTAGGGTGGCTTAACCCGAAATATAATAAAAAATTTTCAAATTTTTTTCAATTTTAATATTAAATTCAAAATTTACCTGATTTTGTTTAGTCTTTATGAAAAAGATGAAGTCAGAGCTTTATTTGTATTACTACAATGTCCAGTTTTTGGAACTCAATCAAGTGCACCAATATTTGCACATTTACTAAACTATATTGCTCAATTAAGCAAAGATGATCACCAACTATTGGTTCATTGGTTCAGAATGTAAGTACCTGATTCTCAATCTATATCTATTTAACATTTTAATTAAATCTTAATATTAATATTTGAAAAAATGTTTAAAACATATTACTAAAATTTGGTTAGTTTATTATTTTTTTTTACAAATAACCAAAATAATTGTTTTTTTAATTATAAACATCAGTTGTATCATATTATATTAGTGGCAATGATTGCATTTTTGTATCTTGTTGATTCTTATTGGATTGTGTCATTTGGTCACCAACGTAAATACTCTCTGTTATTATTTTTATCAATTGTTTCCTCATTTCAGGGTTCTTCTCAATTTGCTTAGCGATAGCGTCCACATCCATTTTAATTTGTTTTGGGTCTTCGTTGCTCCTTCCCCTTTGTTGTTGGAATCCTGAGAATTGTTGTTGAAACTGTGGGTTATCATAATATTGTTGGTTGCCATTTAATTGTTGTGTATATGGCACGAACTTGTCGTACATAATCTGTTCTGCAGCTTTAAGTTGTGAACTTTCTTTAATACTTCTGTAAGGTCCGTTATTACCAGTATTGGAAGTGGCAATCTGTTGTCCGTAAGGTGTTCCACGACTTATTGATCCTAATTCATTATATGACGGCAATGAAGGATAGCTATATGAAGAAGTTGGAGTAGAGTAGCCAATTGAACCAGGAGCGGCGTTTTTGTAAGAACCTGGAGCGGATGACATTAAAGGGTAACCGTATGGAGTTGAAGCACGTAATGAGGAGTAACTCGGTGAATCTGGTGTAGATATGCTTGATGAATATACCGGTTTGTAAAGCTCATCACTAAGCCCTCCTGATTTGTACTGTCCGCTTGGTTGTGCAACGTTGATTCCTGGCCCATATGTAATGGGAAACGACGATCCCGTAAACCCGTAAGAAGAGCCTGTCTCTGGTTCACAAAAGCTGTGACCGTTACTGACATGCTGTTCATATTCATCAGCTAAGTGAATGGTTGCTGCGTGAGACATTGGTTGACGAACAAAATGTTTAGTGGGCGTATGATAGATAGGTTGGTTAACAATGTGTTTTTGATATCCGTGGTAAGATGGACCGAGACCAATATGTTCAGTGAAAAGTGGTTTATGTATGACTTGTTGGACTTCCGAGAAAACGGGTTTGTTCACAATTTCTTGTACTTCTGTAATTATTGGTTTGTGAATAACTTCTTGTAATTCTGTAACAACTGGCTTATGAATTATTTGTTGGGCAATGCCACCTTGACAAGGGATAGAACTGGAATAAGATGTTGGAATAACTGAGTTTGAACCACATGGTTCTGATGACCCATATGATCCAGACAATCCATAATATGATCCCGATAATCCATTTGACCCTGAATATCCATATGATCCCGACAATCCATTTGACCCTGAATATCCATATGATCCCGACAATCCATTTGACCCTGAATATCCATATGATCCAGGTCTACTTAACCCGTATGACATAAATGGATATGAAGAAGATACTAATCCCGGGGATTCTAATGGGCCGAAGGATCTTTCTAAAGGATACGCAGATCCAACTGATTTGTACTGCTCATTATCCAAGCTTTCTGGATAACTTGAGTCGGTGTTATGGATGCTAGTTAATTGAGACGAGTACGCAGATGGATTAGCCTGATTGATAGTAGAATCATATGAAAGTCTGAAAATATTTAAAGATATAATAAATAATGAATTCAACTAAAAACAAGTAAAAATTCTATACGCATAAAAAGTTTATATTACATATATACTACAAAAGTGGTGTATTATAGATAATTACTATAGGCAGGGATAAGCAATTAAGATAAGTAGGTACTTAAAAGAAGAAAGTATCGCGATGGTAGATATTAGATATGTTTTGTCTGTGGAGTAGGTACTGGAGTATTCCGATAATAGATACCTAATCGATACTTATTACATTATAAGTATTTGGATAGGTACCGTCTACTCATTATTCAACAGTCGATACCTACATTTGGATAACATTAGTTTTAGGTTTTTTAAAACTTATATTTATAAATGTAATATATATTTCAAATAGTTAGTATCAGGGGCGCATACATGGGGGGGAAAGAGCAGTTGCTCCAGGCGGCAGGGGTGGCCAAATATTTAAGGGCGGAAAAAAAGTCGATAATGTCGTTTGTAATATAATGAAAATAAAATATTTAGTAGAATAAATATTAATTATTACTTTAACGAATTTACGATGTCAATTGTCGGAATATCTGAAATCGTAAAGAACGCTGTTTATGGACCTTGTTTTCGTAATACCTAGTACCTACGTACTAATCGAACTATTTTTAATATTATCACTATTCACTAGGTACATATATTGACATGTAATAGCCCCGGGGGCACCGAGCAGTACTGACTACTGAGACTCTGTAGCTTGTTATTCGATAATAATATATATTAAATTCCTATCAATTTGTATCTATACTATTTATTTATACAAGAAATAACAAAAGTTTTGAACTTGGTCAATTTTTAGGATAATGTTATTGTTATATAATATTTTAAATTTTAAACATATAGTATACCTACCTATTTCCTTAGTCGCTTATCCTTACAATAATTCATAGCTGTAGGTATAGAATATACCATATACCATGAGACATGAGTTTGAAATTAACAATGATATGTAGACATATCGACATATCGTGTGTGTAATAATTTATTAATTTGTATAAATTGTATCTGGTTCATGTGCTTAAATATATTGTAAAAGACAATACCTAAGTGTAGCATGAGTAGATAAGCATAGGTATAGTTTTTTTGTAAGTAGGTATTATATAATGTTTGTTCGAGCGTAACGAGAACATTTTTTTTTTGTTATTTACTTTAAAAAAAAGTAAGGGGTGTCATATTTATATATTTTGCTCTCCCATACATTGTCTCTTAATACGGTCCTGGTTGATATAGAGTACCTACAGTTAATAACTTACTAATAATAATTATACTCTACTATTTCTACAACACAATTAATATTTACTATTATTATGTACATAATTGTTTAGATAGTTAGCATTAACTACAGTTAATAGCTGAATAACTTAAGTATTATACGTAGTTACCATATTATACTATTATACATTTAATATTATAACTGTACCGGGATACAAGATACAAGGCGCTTATTTACGATATTTGTACATATCGAAGATTCTGTAAAACTGAATTTTATTAATCAAAACATTTTGGATTATGAGTGGAACAATGAATGTATTGATTTTACAATGATGTGTGTTTTTTTTTAATTTTTTAATTTTTAAATTTTGTGTCTTTGTACACGATAAGTAGTCGAAATAAAGCTTCGATTTTCAACTTCAGTATCTTGTTTGATTGGAAAGGGAATATCGTTGGTGCATTGGGGATGTTAAAATTTAAAATTCCCAGTGTTTTTCAAACGCGCCAAGAAAAACAAAAGAAAAATTAAGGAAAAATGGGAATTTTCAAGCAAAATCGAATTTTGTTTTTGGTGTAACTTTGAAACAAATGACCGTAAATACATGAAATTTTCACTGGTTGTTTAAATTTGCGTTTTCTATACACGATAGCATTTTCAAAATATTTTGATTTATTTTGAACTGTTTAGGGACATTTTCAGTTTCCAATTTTATTAGTTGTTTTCTTTATGAATATCAATAAAAATATATTTGTTGAGTAAAAATACTTGAAAATTTAATACAAGGCTCTTACTATATTGTTACATTGACTTATGAAACATATTAAAAATCCTTAGTCACAGTTATTTTTTTATAATCATTTAAAGTTCAAATCTTGACAGAATGTGGAAAAAACACGAAAATCAGCAAATTATTTAGAGTTAAGAATTCATAAGAAATTTTCTTTTTGAATCTAAGATTTGAAAATTTAATACAAGATTCCTCATAAGCTTGTCTAATTTTATAAAAAAAAATCTATTGGAAATTCAAATTACATTTTTATGACCGTTTGAAATTCAAATTTTTCAACATTAGATATTCACTCGATTTCTCTTGTAGCGATTTTCTTATTTTGATGTGATTCAAAAACGAATAACTGTAGATACATGAAAATTTCACTGAATGTTTATTTTATCAATTCTTATACTTGATAAAATATTCAAAATATTTTGACTTGTTTTGAGCTGTTCACGGACAATTTTATATTTCAATTTTTTTAGTTTTTTTTTTCTATGAATATCAATACATTTTTATCTGTCGGGCCAAAAAGTGTAAAAATTTAACACAAGGCTCCTGATATATTGTTACAATAGCATTTGAAAAATATTAAAAATACATAGGCACAATTTTTTTTTATAAGCATTTAAAGATCGAATTTTGACAAAATTTATCAAATTTAAAATTGAATAATTATTTTGTAGTTAAAAATGTATAAAATGTTCAACGTTTATATTTAAGGATGGAAAATTTAAAACAAAATTCCACTTAAGTAGTTAATTCTGTTAACAAAAAATCTAAAAAATACATAAGCACAGTTTATTTTTATAGTCACTTTAAGTTCAAATTTGGACGAAATTACATATTAAAAAACCTAGAATAATTATTTTAGTTATTTTGTTGTGATTGTATAATATTATTCGTGGGTACTTGAAAGTTGAAACTTTTAAAGTATACTACTATATATCTATAATAGTATCACGGTTTGTTATTGATGTATAATGCGTTATAAGTATCTAATGGATATTGTGATATGGTTAATTTGGAATTTATTATAGGTCATTTGTTTTTAATACCATAGATAAGTAGGTATATAATATGTGTTATACCTAGACTGATATACCGTCTCCGCTCAGAATCGTTTTTCTTATACAATGATATTATATCATTGAATTCAAATTTAATACCATCCATTATACAGTGACCCACTTGTAACCTACTGTACAGCAGAACACCTTTTTTTTTTTTTTTGCAAATCTAAGTACCATTCTATTAAATTATATAAAAATATGAATATTCAATAATTTTTTCTTATTCATATCCATCAATATAATGCATTAATGCATACGAATATTATAATTTTTATAATTACATATTTCAAAATATTCATAATATAATGCGGTTTAATAAAATGATAATTCATATTAAATGTATTTTTTTTCCATCAATATTATCTCTGATATATTGTACCTGCTAATAAATGTATTAAAACATATTGCATACACAAAAAATAATTTGTATGCATCCGTGGTTCAAAGTTTGTACCTATATAAGTACTACTACCTACACTTATACATGGCCCGTATACATGGCCCGTAACAATGTAACGTATTTAGTATTTACTAGTAGTAGCGCAACCAGTGGGTATAATGGATAGAGGGTAATCATTATACACTGGGCCATATCTAAATAATACCTGTAGGCTGTAACAGGCTATCTCAGGCTATAGTTTAATTTCTACAATTTAAAATGTATGATAATTAATAATACAAATACATAGTATCAAAAATGTTTCGTAACAATTTTATAAGTCGTAATGGTTAAATAATTTTGAACTATTTGAGCAAAAGATCCTGAAGAATACTTTAAAATAACTCTATTTATTCCTTTCTTGAATATAATGTACTATATGATAATATGAGCGTACATGGGCGTGCTCTAGGGGGGTAAGCTCCCTGGACACTTTATAATTATAATATATTATGTTCTAACATATAATAATTTATTGGGAACAAAATATCTAGTTTAGCATCCGAGCGAATTTTTCAATTTTTTTTTCGGAGACCTGTGTATTACGACGAGTTAACTAGTTAAGAACGTTGTAACTAAAATGAATTGCCGTAAAAATGTGTGTGTGTTAGAACCTTACAAAGTTCATAATTTTCGGTGTCTTACTCACTCGTAAAACTCAAAATGTTACCATATTTTTACGTTTGAAACTTTTCTGTTTTACTGAACAACCTTTTTTATCGATTTTGTTTTAACGTACCTATGTAGTTAAGCATGATGAAAACGATGGGAAAGTCTGAATTTGGTGGTCAGACTTATTTAAAAGTTATGGGTAATTGAAATTATTGGTATATTTTCATATACATTCGCCGTGGTCATTCGCTCACTGCGTTCGCTCGAACAATTAAAATCGAAAACTTCCATTGACTTGTTACGAAAAATTTCAAACTAAACCTTCCCCTCAAAAAAAAAAAAAAAAAATCCTGAGCACGCCTCTGTGAGCATATATGTATTAACACATAAATTATATATAGGTACATTGTATAATCATAGGCACAAATAGATGGGGGCTGAGGGTCTAAGTTCCCTCCTAACAGTTATAACCCCATAAAAAAAAAAAAAACTGTAGAATTTAGTTTTTACACCACAGGAATTATTGAAAAATGTTTATTTTTGTACACAAAAATCTTCAGCCCCAAAAACCTCAAACACACTTTACGTTTATACAAATAAATTAAAATTAAATTTGTTTTGTAAAATAAACTAAAACTTTCAGAATATATCGAGAGCCAGTGCCCAAGTAGATGGAGACTATAAAATATAAATAGATAATGGTTGAAATACTAATATTATATTAATAAGTAATAATAATATATATCATATAATTATTTTCTATATGAAGTAGTTTAGTACAGTTATTTAATAAATGTCAGCATATTAATTTTATATTCAAATTTATAAATTTGATTATTTGAGTAGGTAGTTATAATATTCCCTATATAATATTATATAATAGGTAACACATTCTTACCAAATATACTTATAACAAATGTATTAAATTTTATGTTTAGCAATAATTACCTTTGTTTATCATCTGCAGATTGTATTTCGTCAGTTTTTGATTTATTATTGTCGTTTAATTCTGAAGAAACCTGAACTATTGGAGATATTTTATCATTACGCTCTACTCTGTGGTTTGATATTACAGTCTCGTTTTTGGTGCTAAGCGACGATAGTTGTTCTGATTTTTTGGCTTCATCCATTGGTTTGGCTATTGCCACTGCACAAACTAAATAAAAACACAATAAATACTTCATGATGACACTTTCAATTAATTTACTGTCTAATTGTATGTCGAATATCAGACTGTATCAGAATTGAATGATAATATTAATAGTCTACGTAGGGATATAAGTAGGCATTCAGTCAAATGCACTGTCAGCAATATTATGCAATACGGTAGTGAAGAAATTACATTGGCGTATACAATATTGGTGTTTAGGTATTTAATATTATAAAATGGATAAATGAAAATATTATAGCGGTAGTGGAAAATAATAAATATATATAAATTCAATGTGTATATTAAAAATGTACTGTTTTGAATGACCTTAATAAAGTTAGTCTTTATATTAAAGTTTCTATTTATTATTTATTGATCATTATGTAGGTACTAGGTACTATATAGGTATAGTATATCATATATGAATATGAGTCTTATTTTTAATTTTAATTGAAGCAAGACAACTTACAACTATTATACTTATTAATGTTTTTCATAAATATGACACAGTTCATATTTAATTTAAAATTATATGTATACAAATTAAAAAACTACAAAATAAAAAAAATTGACTGTGAAGTTTTAATCGATCTGAGTTATTTACTTTTAAATCAATAAAATAATACAATTATGTATTTAAAAAAAATACATTAGAAATTAAAAATAAATAATAATTCAATAAAATTTGCTAAAATAAATCTAAGTATCCAGATAAAATAAGCGTATATCTATTTTATCAAACAATATATATTTTGATTTAACCTAAATATGGTATTTTCTAACTAAACTTATTTTTTAATGATATCTTTGTATTTAAGATTGGAACTGGATAAATTAAGATCATTAATACGATATATTATGCAATTTATAACATTACGGCAATTTTCTCCAAATGACAAATCTCTACCACCTTTAGGAAAGACACTTTGGTGGATACCATCAGCAACCAAAAATTTAGCGTTAATAAGTAAGTTTGAAACGTGTTTATCCGAATAGTTTTACTGATATATTAAAATATTTAATTAATTAATATTAATATAATATTTAATTAATTAAAAACACAATATTTAGAGTTACTTGAAATGTTTTCCAGATGCAGCCAACAAATTAGGAACCGAACTATTACATTTTACTGAATTATATAACTCTGCTTTGGATCATATTGATCTGATGCGTGATTATTACAATTGGCAAAGTTTAGGGCCTTACGAATGTTTTTCTTATTGCCAATATCCATTCATTCTGAGCATTGTTGCAAAGAGGATTATACTTACTAAAGATTCAGAACAGCAAATGATTCTAAATGCTAGAAAATCATTAGTATCTAAGGTTGCAAGAAGGCAGACACCTAATATCGATATATTCTTTTTAAATATAAACGTCAGAAGATCACATTTGGTACAGGATTCGTTAAATGAGGTAAAAAAAAAAATATATTTATACAGTTGAAATCCTATACATTTGTTCGCATGAATCACGATAAAATATTTCCAAATTCTATTCCTTTTTTAAATATTTCCAGTTATCATTTTGAGAAAACACCCACTTGCATCATATAGTATGGTGCCTATACCTCATAAGCTCTGTAAAACTTAATATAACTATTTAACAGTGAATATAATTATTCTTATACAATATAATATTATGTTTTATTGTTAGGTATATATTATATAACATGATCTTTTGTATAGCGTAGCTGATGTATTATATTCACTTTATTTATTCATGAACAAAAAATTATTTTGAATGTTTTAACTTTTAACTAGGTATTGTTTGTTTTTCAAATGTTATTGTAAACAGTTAAATAATGCAAATTTGTAATCACTTAAGATTTCTACTCCTATAATAAATAAAGAACTAGTTTGTTTAATTAAAAATTATAAGCTGAATATATAATGATGACCTATACTATACTTACCTTCTTCTATTGCTAAAATTATTATTTTTTTTTAAGTTTATATTTTGTTTTTGTTGTTTAAATTTGTATTTCCGACGTAGGTATATCCGTATGTATATGTTGACTTATCAGAGTCCGGAAAATATCCAACGTATGTTCCTTCCTTGTTAAATAAAATTAATTCATGTGTCATGTTTAGTTTTGAAATTATTTGTTCGTTATAATTTTAATTTTTTTGACCACGATTTATTATGAGATAATTTTTTTTTAATATATGGTATTTAATATGCTATAAAATCGAAATACTAAATAATATAACACATTATAAAAATCATAAGTACTAAGTAGGTATAAATCAGTTAGTAATCATCAACTTTTAAATAAATACAACATAGGTACCAACTCGTTTATATTATATTATATTTCCTTGTCAAGGGAGAGGAGATTTGTGCAGTAATTTTTATTAAACGTACCGTCGTCTTTTTCTTATTCTGAACTGAAAAAAATCGCTTGTAGATATCTGTAAAAAATAAATTGGCTATCGCTTATGGTCCTAAAACAGCTAGAACAACTATCTTATAAAAATTTGTTAACAATATATTTTTGACATTAGTTCAAAAGTTTGATGTGTAAAAAATGCAAATTTTTTTAAGAATAACACAACAACCAGTATTTTTAGCATTTTTACCTAAATATAATAAAATAAAATATTTTAAATATACTTCTTTGGTTGAACAGTTTAACTTATAAATACGGCGAGAAAGTATATATACTTAGACTGTTTCTCGGATTTAAAAATATTTATTAATAATTAAGGAAATTAAACAATTGGGACAGCCAACTGAAAGTTTCCTGATTCCTCTAGACGATTAGTATATATAGGAAAGAACATACTATATAATATATAATAACTATTAGTTATTATTAAGTAGGTAGGTAATAGGTAATATCGGTATACTTAAATGACGACCGTGTTGCAGATTGCTTTCAAACAGAAGGATTTAAAGAAAAAGTTAAAAGTGACATTCGCCGGGGAACCAGGACTAGACATGGGTGGTCTGACAAAGGAATGGTTTTTACTTCTGATTCGCGAAATATTTCACGCCGAATACGGAATGTTCGTGTATTACTCGCACTCGCGGTGCTACTGGTTCAGCACCGGGCAGACGGACCACACGAACCTCCGCGAATACAATCTCATTGGTGTACTGATGGGCTTGGCAGTGTATAATTCCATAATACTGGACCTGAGTTTTCCAGGAATTTGCTACAGGAAACTTTTATCGCCACCAGTCGTGCCTACCGTCAACGACGACAGCGTGGGCATCGTCGAAAATCCCACGTTAGACGACTTGAACGAGATCATGCCAGTCAGTGTATAATATATTATAATATGTAACCACTATACACATTTATTAGGTACAAATTTAATGTGAAAACTCTTAAGTACTGAATTCTAAATTCTACGATCGATAATGACCATGGAAAGGCTTAATTTGCTAGTCTTAATAAATATTATAAACAAATCTCAAAAATCTTAAACCAGAAATTATTCAAGTTTTTCCCAAAAAATCCTAGACGTCTTCAGTTATTGGGCAAAATAATCATTAAGAAATTTGAGAATTTGATCTGCTATATAGTAGATTTAGACTTTAAATTGTACCGTATTCGTATAAAGCATCATTATAGCAGGTCGTTGTTGTAAATTGTTCTAATGAATGTGAGTCGTCAGAATGTATTAAATTAGTTAAATAAAAAAACTTCTAACTCAGTATTGATATAAGCGGTGTAGGTACCATATAAAACAGTTCATGATATAAATAAATAACGTAAAATTGGAAAAATTTTAATCGTGCATAGGTACTGCATAGTAAATAAAAATATAAGTATTAGAAACATTTTTATTATAATTTTTGAATTATTACGACATAATTAAAATCTTTAAAGAAAAAATTAATTTTCATTCTCATTTAAATATATAATAATTTCGTAAAAATTTGAACATCAAATGCCTACAAAAAAAATATTGTGCTTATTATAGCTTATATATATGTTCTGTAATTTTAAATTTTAAATTACCTTGTATTACGTTTCAAGCTTTTTGACCGAGAAAAAAGCCCCTCACCACCTGCACAATCGAAATTCCAGGCTATCTATACATATGCATTAAAATAAACTTCATATACAAACAAAAAAATTATATAATAAGACATCTGTTATAATATTTTTGTTTAACTATAACCCAATTTCTAACATAATATACTTATCAAGTGATAAGTGACTAGGTAGGTATATATATTATGCCATTATGGTAGGTAGTAGGCTAGCGCCTAATGGTCTACTTGGTTTTTCTTAATAATTACTTATACTGCTATACATTATTTAGCCGTTTAGGCTTATAGGTACTACATTAATTAATATATATTATATACCTATAATTTATCCTGATTGCCGAGGTTTAATTTTAGGATGTAGCCAGTGGCTTAAAACATCTACTTGAATACGAGGGAAATGTTGAAGAAGATATGGGACTTACATTTCAGGTATCTACCTATCTATTTATAGTTATTAATTATTACCTATATTCATTCTTAAATGTTTCAAATTGTATGATTTAGTGTTAAGTAAGAAACAAATAACAATATATCAGATATTTAATTTACGTATTTCATTAGTTTTAAATAATTGAAAGCAGGTAATTATATATTATAATTATATTCTAATATTCTATTTGTATATAGGTACATATAATATTTTATATTACTTATATAAAGTAGCTCTGCTGTATAGCAGAAACATCACTGCAATGGTCAATGAATGTGTTAAATTTAAATTCTATGATAAATTATTATTGCATACGAAAAATGATTCTATATACTACTTAGAATATTTTATGAAATATTAATAATGATATTGGTTATTAGTAATTGCGTTGAAGATCGTAACATTTTTTTCAATTATAAAAAATGTCTTAAAAAACAATAATCTACCTATCTCATCATATTAGGAATAACTTATAAATTATAACCAATTAAACATCGTTTATTCAATTTTTATTATTGTGTTCTCTGGATATGTACTGGGTCAAACATTTCTACAGGGATAATAAAAAAAATCGGCCCATTTAGGTATACCTATAAAAACCACCCTAAAAACATATATATTCTTATAAATTGATTATATATTATTTTGAGAATTTGAACACTTAATATTATTATTAAAAAATAAAAAAATTAATAATTGGTTAGTACAAAGAAATATTATCATTTTATTTAAAATACATATGTTTAGACTCCGGAATACACAATACACGCATATTAAGCATTTGTTAAGGTTTGAGCTATTTTGCGAAATTGTGTCCACCTAGCAAATTATTATACTTTAATTCAGCCACTATACGGTGGCACCGGAATAGATGTGAGTTTGTGATCATAATTGTCTCAAATTTTAGGCGGTGCAGATGTGCGTTATGATAAGATAGGGATTGCCGATTAAAGAAGACAATAATATGACACAATAACACACAAGCATCTATTTTTGACAATTAATACATTTTTAATATCTATTTTGAGGAATTTCCTTAACTCCAAATAGTTTTCTAATACAATTGCATTAGAAAATGCGTCTATGTCTATAAACAGGATGAGCCTTAACCAATAAACCTAAAAAAAAAACGTCCCTACGAGTACAATTACGTCCCAGTAATTAAAATTATTCACTACCTACTTTTGATTTGACATAAATCGCATATGTATTATGTAGTATGTCCGTATAAATACTATATTATAGTAATATATTATTGATTAGAACCATATATTACAATGGCGGTTTTTGGATTTTATTCTTGGGTGTTGGGTATTATTATTATTATTATTATTATATCCTTTGATATTATCTTATAATATTATCACAGATATTATATTGTACATAAAAAAAATATTTACTCATTAATCACTTATTAATTTAATTTTAACTAATAAAAAAAATATACTACTTATATATTACAGTGATGGGTAGTAACGCAACGCAACGCAAATTATACATTTCTGTAACTAAATTACTTTTGCAGTAACCCTGAAGTAATTTCATTATATTTCATATTTTCATTTAAATTAACACAATTGTAACGAAATTAATTTTTAAAAGTAATTTCTATAGATGAGTTACGTGTTATTTTCCACTTTATTAAAATAGGTAAGTAATAAGTTATGAATGTAGAAGGTATGACAAAAACTAAGGAATAGGATATATTTGAGAAAAATGAAAAATGAATAACATTTATTTATGGTTCCGAATGTTTTTATAATAAATAATAATCAATAATATTACTAAAGATCCCAGGAATTAATACTTATACATTTCCTTCATGTATAACATTATTCTTTAAGTCATTTGTACCTACTAGGTACTTTAGTACTTATTATTCATTATGGACTGATTTTGTTATTATTTTTTTTTTAAAGCAACGTTATTTGCAACGCCCTACTTTTTGAGTGAAAAAGTAAAGTAACGTGATACAAATAATGTCGAGTAACGCGAATGTAATTTAAAAAATAATTTAACGAGTAGGTAACGTAATTTTATAACTTTTCAAATGTAATTTGTCCAATACTGCAGTTGTTTAGTGTTTACTCACATGACCGTCCCTATTTGATTTACTTAATCTATTCATAAAAAAAAATGTTAGGTTACTCGGAACCTAGGGGGTGACGTAAAACCGCCACTTTTATATTATAGTCCTTACTCATTATTAGTTAGTTGTAAGTTATAAGTTATACTTTATAGGGTAAATAATATAAATACTATGTGAACATTAATTGTACCTAATTGAAGTTTAAAATGTTTACGTAAACTGTATCTATTCTGTATAACCTATATAGAAATATATGATATACTATATTATATTACTATATTAAACATTATAATATTATATAATATATTATATACAAACAACACACGAAAACACGATGCCTATTTAAGTCATATACGTTTATAAATAGGTATCATTAGAGGAACACAGAACACCCAAAACGCACAAACTAAAACCAAACGGAGAAAATATACCAGTTACGAATGAAAGTCGTGAAGAGTATGTAAACTTGTACTTGAATTGGGTACTGAATTTATCCATTTACGAACAGTTCCGTGCATTTTACTTCGGATTTCACAGCGTATGCGCCTCCAACGCTTTAATTGCAAGTGCTCCAGTCAAAATATACAATAATATTATATTATATATTTCTAATTTCTATTATTCGCTTCGTGTAAAATGTGTTCTCAGCTGTCTTGAGAATGAGAAATAGTCATATTATATAATATTATTGTTGTGCAGATGCTGAGACCAGAAGAAGTCGAATTGTTGGTCTGCGGCACGGACACGTTAGATTTGCATGAACTCCGCAAAGCCACAGAATACGATGGCTATCGACCGGACGACAACATTATTAGGTGAGTAACTAGAAGTCTAGAACACAGTATAGCCGTATAGGACACTAGAAACTAGGTGTACAGTTATAGCATAGATATTATATATTATATGATCGACTTTTAGTCCCTCTGAAATTAAAGTTTTTAATTTATAACCAATTATATTATATAATTTCTCTTTTCGTTTATTTATAGCGTCTTTTGGAATGTTGTCGATTCGTTATCGGACGATCAAAAGCGTAAATTCTTACTGTTCGTCACTGGAAGCGACCGCGTGCCAGTCGGCGGCATGGGAGACATGAATTTCAAAATAACTAGGGGTCCCAACAGATCTGATTACTTGCCCGAGGCGCATACATGTTTTAATCAGTTAGTGTTACCCCAATATCCGGATCACGATCAACTTAAGGAGAAACTGATGACGGCCATACTAAATGCTGAAGGATTTGGAATGGAATAATAATGTATGGTATAGGTACTATTACTTACTGTCAATTAGTAAAGTCATTACTTATTAGTAGGTACCTATATATAATAAAGTAGGTATGTAGGTACCTAAATACCTAATAGGTACCTAATTAAAATTAAGTTTCAACATTTTTTTTAGTTCGTTTTAGACTAAATAAATAGGTAGTAGCTATGCATTACTAGGTGCTATATTTATATTTTATTTTTCCACTGAGCCCTCATTCACTATAACAAACAGTACTGGATCTACAATTATGTAACCCGTTACCCGGGGCACGACATAATATTAGCGTCCCCATAATACATGCTTTATGAGTTTAAAATTTGAAATTTGCACCCCTCTAAAATTAGCCGCTTCCGGGGCTAATAACAACATATTATTTACCTATAGTCATATACGCCACTGTGTGGCAGCTATTAAATATAGGAACCTATATTGCTATATAATAGTATAATTGTCTATTGATAATTTATGCAAATACATTTATATGCTTGATAATTATTTAATTAGTTCAATCAACAAATATCGTACATCTGAGAAATCTCTAGGTTATACTTTGCAACAGCTAGTCTTGAAATAAAACATACGAACATTATTCTTTGAATTGTAAACAACGCACGTTTGTATTTATGTGTTTTATTTATTAAACATTCAACTGTTTATAAATACATACTGCTGTTGCCATTTATCCAATTGACAAGTTAAATATGTAATAAATTATGTATGGTCATAAAGTGAAAATAATATATTGTCTAAGAAAAATTAGAAACTTTACTATTTTCTTTTGTTTTATGAATAAATTGTAATAACTAAGTACTTATACATAATAAACTAGTAGTTAGTAGTTAGTAGTTTAGTACCATAGAATAAGACAACTACCTACCTGACTGTTCAGTGGCGTCATTTGGTAAGGTGAAGTGAGCAATTTGTCAAAAGTGAAAAAATCCGAGAAAACTAAATTTAAGGAAAAACAGGAATGTTTACTGAAAATCGATCTTGGTTTTTAGTGTAACTCTAAAACGAATACATGTAATTTTTACTGAATGTTTATATTAGAATTTTCTTTACACCATAACATTTTTAAAATATTTTGACTTGTTTTGTGTTGTCTACGGACATTTTCATTTTCCAAATATTTTGGATTTTTAGTTTTTTTTTCTATAAATGTTAATTAAATAACAAATTGTAGGTATACGTTGGGTCAAAAACCGTGATAATAATACAATGCTCTTGATATATTATTACAACAGCTGCAGTTAAAAAATATTAAAAATACATAGACACATTTTTTTTACAACCATTTAAAGTTAACATTTTGACAAAATTTACTGAAATGTCCACAAACAGTTCAAAACAAATCAAAATATTTGAAAATGTTATCATTTATAGAAAATGCTAATATTATCAACCAGTGAAAATGTCATGTATCTACGGTAATTTGGTTTAGAGTTGCACTAAATCCAAAATCGATTTTATCAAAAACAGATTTTGCATAAAAATTCCCGTTTTTCTTTGATTTTTCTATTCTTATTCCTGGCGCTCTGCTCAGAATCTAAAAAAACACATTATGATAATATTTAAATTATAGAAAACAGTTCATGTCTATTATAGAACCCACAGAACATGATGTTACCATTTATATCTTTTTTTTTCCTAGTTAATCGAGGGACGGAGGAGGAACCGCGTTAGCATTACTTCTCCTCCGGCCCCCATACCACTTATACCTTAGATGGATACTAAATGTCGAATAGACAACTACTATCGACTGCAAAAGTTCAAATTGCAAATATTTGATAATACCAGGGGGAACACAGGAAAAAAATTCTGGAGGGGGATTGAAAAATTTAAAGTAGCTATTCATAAATACATTTGTAGGTCAGATTTAGAATTCGGTGTATTTGAAATGCCGTCGTCATCGTTTTATTCAAATATCAAATACCTATACCTATACCTACATACAAATATTTTTTGAAAATAATTAAAATACTGACGATGTCGAATTGCGAAGTGGGCAAGTGGGTGTCGTTCTGCTGTACAGTAGGTTACAAGTGGGTCACTGTAATGGATGGTGTTAAATTTGAATTCAATGATATCATATCATTGTATAAGAAAAACATTTCTGAGCCAAGTATGTTGGATGATATTATTATTGTGAATAAAGTTATTTATTTTTTTATTTGCCATATTTACGCTGAACCTTGTTTTAAATTTTCAATCCTTAGCTATAAAAGTTGTATATTTTTAAATTTTAAATTTGATACATTTTGTCAAAATTTGAACTTTAAATGCTTATAAAAAAAATTGTGCCTATGTATTTTTAATATTTTTCAACTGCTATAGTACCAAAATATCAGGAGCCTTTTATTCAATTTTCACGCTTTTCGGCCCAACAAATAAATTTGTAAAAATATTTATAAAAAAAAAAAACTGAAACTTGAAATTGTCCATAAACAGGTCAAAATATTTTCAAAATTGTATGGTGTATAGAAAATGAGAATATAAACATCCAATACAATTTTCATGTATCTATATAGTTATTCGTTTTTGAATAACAACAAAATAAGAAAATCGCTATATGAGTGAATATCCAATGTTGTAAAAATTTGAATTTCAAAAGCTCACAAAAATTTAATTTGAATTTCCAGTCGAGAATTTTTTTTATAAAATTAGACAAACTTATGAGGAGGAATCATGTATTAAATTTTCAAATCTTAGATTTAAAAAGAAAATATTTTATGAATTTCTAACACAAAATAATTTGCACATTTTCAACTTTGCCAAACTTCAAACTTTAAATGCTTGTAAAAAAAATTGTGACTGTGTATTTTTGATATTTTTCAACTGATATTGTAACAATATATCAGGAGCCTTGTATTAAATGTTCAAGCTTTTTTACCCGACAAATAAAATTGTATTAACATTAGTATAAAAAAAACTAAAAAAATTGGAAACTGAGAATGTCCATTAACAGTTCAAAACAAATTAAAATATTTTGAAAATTTTATCGTGTATAGAAAAAGCTAATATAAACAACCAGTAAAAATGTCATGTTTCCATGGTCATTTGTTTTAGAGTTACACCAAAAACAAAGATCGATTTTGATGAAAATTAATTTTGCCTAAAAATTCCCGTTTTTCCTTAATTTTTCCTTTCCGGCGCTTTTGAAAACTATTGGGAATTTTGACCTCCCAATGCACCAACTAGATTCACATTCCCATCGAACAAGATACTGTTGAAAAAAATCGAAGCAGTTTTACTGTCCTAAAAGGTGATGACAGATACAAATAACAAACACACACATTATTGTAAAACCAATACATTTATCGTTCCGCTCACAATCTAAAATCTTGAATATGGGGGTTTTACAACCCCCTCCCCCCCCAATCCAAAGGGCTGCCCTGGCGATGGGCAACGTGGGTTTCAATCTACACAAAGTAAAGTTAAATTTCAAAAGAAATGTTTTAAAAAGCAGTTTCTTAAACATAATTATTATTAATAAAGCTAAGGGTAAATATAAAGAAATATTGCTTTGCAAATCAACCACTATACAACATTTTCAGTAGGTGATTTCAAATGAAAATATAATACATCAAGTTTGTGTTGCTTATAATCCTTTAAGTAAGATATTTTATTTATAAATACTACAATTAAAAACAATATGATATGTGTACGAAGCACTAGTTTTATGTTTTTTTAATACTGCATAAAAGGTTCACAAAGTAAATTAATAATTATTGTAAAAAAAAAAAATTAATAATAATAAAAATAATAATAATACACATTAAATAAAGATTAAATAAAGATATAGGTATTAGAGGAACTAATATTATAAGGGGTTATCAACCTTTTTAGATCCAACGTTCTTCTGATTTTGAAAACAATTTTAACAGCTCCCATACAAACAATGATCATAATACAATAAACAAATTTTTATTTTCTACTGCAAACGTGTCTCCTTTGATAATAATCGGTGAAGCCCCGTGGAGCCGTGACGCTGGTTGAAAACCCTTGTTATAAGGTATTTAGAAAAAGAAAACAAAAGGGTCAATGAACTAAGAGTAACGAAGAAAATAATTTTGAATTTTACAATTTATCTGGATTAATTGTTATAGTTAAATTTTTGTCAGGCCAGTTGACAGTTTTTGGCAAAGGCTCCTGTAAAAGTATAAAAATAAATACCAACCATAATTTTTTTTAATAAATTACATATTATGAGTATTATAAATGTATTTACCATAACTGGCTCATTGAGGAACTTTAAACTAGATTCCATTGAATCGAGGAAACTATTTGACACTAGCACTTGCAACCAAGATCCTTGAGCTACAAATGGTTTTTCTTCGCTGACAAGAGATCCAGATACAGCTGAAGCAACAAAAGTAATAGTTGCATCACCAGTTAATGCTTTAAAAGTAAAATGACGACCATGCCTAATACGACCTCTGAAAATTAAATTTGTAATTAATATTTTTAACACATTTTAAATTAAATGAAGTATTATTTAATTAAATAAATAAAATAAATATTATACTTCAATACAAAAGGTAGCAAAAGTCCAGCTTCTAAATTAAAAGTTATATGGACATTTTCTATAAATTGTCCTTGATTCAATTCTGATAATTCACAACTTTTATAATTTGAATTACCATCAGTTTCTTCCAAATCCCTAGTACACAAACAAGTTAATTAGATGATACATTTTAAAAGTTTTTATTGAACAATTTAAAAAAATTACTCGTTTGGGGCTCTTGAATTATTAATAATACGTAAGTTGTTCATGGAATGTTCAACTGACTTATAAACTAATGATTTGTCACCTTAAATTTAGAAATATTTCATATTAATAATTAAATGTAAATATTAAATTTATATATAGAATACATACATCTGTTATTTAATTCTTCCCATGAACAATGAGCACTTATACCACATAAATTTGAACCTTCAGTTTTGATACCTTCAGTAATTTCATCATGAACGGAAGGATCCACATCAAACATACTTTCACCTCTACGCATGTTTGTTATTAGCCATGGACCTCCAGTACTAAAATAATCACATAAAAGCATATTAAATATCACCATTATAAATTCTTAAGCATCACTGATACAAAATATAATAAAATATAATTTAATAATAATTTTTAAAATTAAATTAAACTTGTATTACAAGGTAATACATTGTATATATTATAATAAGTATAAACTTACACTGAATGTCGTTTCAATATTTGCAATACTCCTGGCCCATTCCATCTTTGAACAGTTTGTAATTCTTCTAAACATGCACCAACAATTTGAACAAATCTAACTGATCCATGTGGTGTGACAGTGACCTGTAGTTGAGGATCTTCGCCCATCAACATATGTTGTAAACGGCTCTCACTACCATCCAAACCACAATGCCAAGACACATGATCACCAGCATATAATGTATTTCCTATAATTTCATTCATTGTTAATTATAAAATTGTTATTACCATTAAATATGATACCTGATCTGATAATTTGTACCATTATAATATTAGATAAACTAAAACTTAGGCGGAACAAATCTATGTTACCGGACACCCATTTTTTCTCTCAAACTACGTGATTTTTCATGCTGAATTCAAGTGTTTTTAACAAATGTTCACACATCTCTCCATTTTCAATGATATGTCGATACAAGTAACTCATAACTTCATATTAATAATTAATAAATAATAATAACATGATACAAATAACCGCACTTAAACCATATAAGTATAATCCACAAAACTCATAAACACAGACCGACACACCTAATCTTGATTACAAATTGATAAAGTATATTTCAATATGGTTTAATGCAGTGGTCTTCAACCGGTGGGTCGCGTAAGCTTTAAAATTGGGTCGCGATAAGTCTTCTTTTTAAAATAAAAATAAAATTTTTAAAATTATAAAAGGTAAAAAAATAATTTTTTAATAATTACATTTAGAAATTTAATAAATGAAAATACAGTTTAAAAATAGTGGTGTATGTTGTGTATTATGTATCAACAATATTTTATAATTTATTGTTATTCTATATTCTATTATATAATACGTATAGCTTTCGTGGGTCGCGAAAAATGTAGGCCTAAAAATGTGAGTCGCAAGTCCAAAAAGGTTGAAGACCACTGGTTTAATGAATACCAGGGCTTGCATTTGAAAAAAAAATTACGTTTTACGTTATTTACAATTAAACAGTTACACAATTTCAGCGTTTATCGTTATCCAGAACTAAAACGTTATCAAAGTTTTGCGTTTATTGTTATTTACTATTTAGAATAAAAACATTATTTTACCCAACATTTATCAACAATCCAGTAAGTAATTTACTACTTAATTTTTTTCAACATTGTTACCAGAAAATTATAATTTATTATTTTGAAAATGCGGGAGGTAATGTCCCGGATACAGAAAGTGTGGTAGATTACAAGTACTCATAATTAATAGTCTAGACTTGGAATTCTCAAACACTAAAAACACTCGAAATCTTTCTGATTTGAACTTATTACAACTCCAAGCTACATCCATCAGCCGGTTGTCAGTACACAGAGCTGTTACTCAAAAAAACATAACAATGTTATTGACTATAGTCAGTGCCACAACTAGGAACATTTATGGTATTTTAACTTAGTAATGAAAAAGTATTATAATACTGAATAATAATAACGTTAGTAACTATATTAAACTATACCTGTTTTAAAAACGTATTTAGCAAGTGACTGCATTAAACGAGCAGGCCAAGTAGGAGGAGATGTTTCTGAAGAATCTTTAAGAAGACGAAATGTCAATTCAAAGCCAAATCCACTTGGCCCATCTGATCCGTTTGTAGTATTATGAACACGATTATCACCATGCAAATCGGATAAACCAAAACTATACAATTCCATCAAACAATATGATTAATTAATAAAACGTAATATACAATAAATATTTAAGTAAAATATTTTTTCCCATAGTATCAAGTCGTTATGTTACAACGTAATGTATCCTTATAATTATTTTAAGTTTTTACTTTTTTAAATAGCAATACATAGTTTTAATTACATCTATGAAAGCAGAATATTTTTTTAAATATTTCGTTATACAAAAATTGAATTTAGAACGAGTAGCTTATGAGTTATAAGTATTTAAAGTTTAGATGAGCGAAGTGGAGAGGTATGCGGTTACCCCACAAAATGTTGGTCCAGTACTCCGCTCATCTAAGCTTTAAATACTTTTAACTCATAAGTGACTTGTTCTAAATTCAATTTTTATACATTAAAATGTATATAAAATATTTTGCTTTAGAATATGAAATTAAAACTGTATGTTGTCATTAAAAAAAGTAAAAACTTCAAAAATTATGAGGTTAAAAAGTAGTAAAAAAATATATATACTTAATTAAATAATGAGTGGTTCATGATAAAAGAATCACCTGGTATAGTATACAACAAATAAATAATATAATTACCTAATATAATGCCAATGTGGTGGAATACCAATCATTCGATCACCTGGATTATTATACATACTAATATAATCTAATGGATCTGGACCACCAAGCCTGAAATTATATAACATATATATTATTTTAAATGTTTCTATTATAATTCAAGAATCAAGAAGTAATAAATCATAACAATTAAAGATTAAAATTAATTTTTAGGAAAAAAAACTTAGCTAGCACCTATTTAACATGGTAATAAATCATACATTGCATATCTTTATAATTCTTCATATTTCAAGGTTCACATTATTATGAACAATTTTTATAACATTATCTGAAATAAACCTACTGATTATTTTTTATTTTAATTAATAAATATAAACATATAGGATAAAAGTAATGCATTTCTTAATTTTAGCTTCTATTTAAAGATAGGTATTCATTATACTTAATAAGTAACAATACAATATTCAAATGAACATGTGTCAACCAAAAATAGATGCAGACAGGAAATGATAATAAAAACTGGTATTTTCACCCTAGTCCAACTCTACCCTACATCAATTAGTTTTTCACACATTGTATTTTTAGAAACATTTTAAGTTTTAATCTTATATAAAATAATCTACAGAAAAAAAATCAACTATTTTAACTAACAATAATATTAAACCATTGTATAAATACTATACTATAATATAATATTATTTATAATCAATGATAAAACTAATCAAACTTACTAAAAAATATGTCAGTGTAGTGTTTTTTTAATACATTTTTATTAAATGTTTCTTTATAATAAATATCAATCTGCGTTTCCTATTTTGTAGTCAAATAGCTCAAAAGAAGAAAATATAAACCATAATGTATGTATGTATGTATGTATGTATGTGATTATTATACTATTTAATAGCTATTTATTTTAAACAAGCAACACCAAAATTAATTACAACTCTGACTTTTACTATGAGTATCAGACGACTTGCAGCAGTTCTGTATAATATGTACCTATTATTTAAATCATTATAGAAACTAGTTGTATATTAATATAAGTACATTTCAATAGCTTAAAATTATTTAAGCATTAAATATTAAACCTAATTTAAAATGTTGGCAATATAATGATAAACGCTCAAATGCAGAACTGGTTTGCTATGGTTAAATATGATAAATAACAATAACAAAATAACAGATGTTACGCGATATCCAGATATCCTCTAAGGATAATTTAATTACCTACTAATGGTTTATTTATGTAAAATACTCATTTATTTGATATTTAAATTTGTAATACTGTTATAAGATAAATAGTAACAAAAAAATTATTATCTATTATAATATAAATATAATGGAAGAGACATTTTTTCAGTAATATATTGAAAATTATGACTACCTATATCAAATTACCAATACACTTAAATATAATTTCTCACCAAAACTTAATTACAGTAGTGGCTTGTAAAGGATTACACTGATCTGGGTAAATCCTTTTACACAACATATAAAGTGAAGCAAGGCCAGCTGGTGGAGTTTGTGGTATATAAGGCACTTCGGTAATTGATCTCGGAGTACGCATACAATGCCCTCCATTCTGGTGGTCAGATTCATTCATTTTCTTAGTTCAAAATACTAAAAATAGTTTAAAAGCGTATTAAACAGTAGAATGAAATCTAATATTCTTTAACAAGGTGAATTTCTTACCTATAACATTCTGTAGATTCAGAGTTAAAACGACAACAACAGATTAAAATTGATAGGAAAATAAATAAAAATAATGATATAGTGAGAACTTAATTGCAAACTGCTTTGGTAATGATACAAATAAAATTATAATATACTCAGAGGCCTGGAGACACGGATTATTGTAGCCGATTTTTACATCGACTTAATACAATGTACACACCATAGACAGTACGGAGTACACTACTGTAGTTACTGGTATAGCACAAATGCAGCAGCAGCCACCAGCCAGCACTCAGGAATGCACAAAAAGTAGTGAGTATACTAACTAAATACGTTAACGCCGTTGCTAGTTGGTGATTACACTCTTTCTGATTGGAGACTGCCAAGCATAGCATAGACAAGAATACTGCTGCCGAGTGCCGCCGACTGGTATAAACGTATAGTGGTATTTACTAGTTTATGGTAGGTAGGTATCAGACATTTTTCGAGAGATATGATTATACAGAGTGTGTCAAATATGTCAAATATACATTTTTTTTTTTATAGAATTTAAGTTCATACAATTAAATGAAAATAAAATGATGTCAAACAAATCTGATCACAACCATGTATATACTTTAAATTTTACCTCAGAAGTCTAAATTTCTAAAAACCAAACGAAATCCGCACAGGATTTAAAGTTTTATGATGAATTGGCCTGCTGCCACCTATTCATTCAGTCACTCTGTATTTTGAAATACAACTATACAAGGTATTCCATTCTTTTCAGTCCCCACACCATGGTGTCGTTATTCTTGTTTTTCATTGCTACCAATACCTACCGAATCTACAATATCCAAATACTATTAAGATATTTCTGTATTGAATTCTTCCTATCTTTAAAACATATATAATTTATACGTTTAATTATGAATGTTTTTTAGACAAGAATAAAATGTGTTCTAAAAAGGTTTTTTCTCCTAGCTTTGAATACTTAAAAAGTACCTACTTATTTATTCATTACATACAATAATAAGAAAAACATGTACACGTCCTTATCCTGTAGTCTGTACCTATCTTACATTCTTACACATTATTTTACCTGTTGCTTCGAGAGCTAAAGTGAAAGTGTGTGTATGGCATACAAATTCTATTACAACCATTCAATATTTGATCGTCAGTCATTAACACACTGCACTATGAGCAATAAGTCGATTGTCGTAATAATACTCTTAGTGTCAATACTGATCGACTTTTCCGACGGTGTTGTGAAACGATGTTTCAGTTGCCGTTCCCGCGGAGATTTAGGAAGCTGTAAGGATCGATTTAAGTACACCAACCTCACACAGGTCAGCTTAGAATCCGGTATAGGAGTGGAAGCTGTGCCGTGTGCCTCGGGATGGTGTGGGAAAATAATTGAGACACGAAATTCTGATGCCAAAGAACAAGAATTCGATACGGCAACACAAAGGACGTGTTTGCAGAGAGGACCTTCAGATGGAGAAGAACGTTGCGATGACACCATGTGGGAGTATAAAAAAGTTTTTATGTGTTTTTGTCACGGCGACCTCTGTAACAATGCACCACCAGCTTCGAAAAGTTATAACTTCTATCTTCTTACATTAACTCTTGGTATCCCTATTATACTTACTCAGTTACTCATTTCATAGGTATTTTAACAATAAATAAATGATTTTCAAAACTAACTTGTAAAATATAAAAAAAATATCGTGTGTAAATATATCATTTTTTTTTAAAAAAATAAAAATATATCTTTAAATTTTAGGTATACCTGTATACCTACTATTTTTCAATGCCTAAACAATTTTTTTTCCTGTAAAATATACAATCTATGCTCAAGCCTCCAGGGCCAAGGACATACCTAATACAAATATGTACTACAAGCAATACAAGTAATACACAATTAATACTTAAACAATAAAATACATTTTAAATTTTAAAGTCTGTATTTAAAATTGATCTCATCAAAAATTATTTAAATTATTCTCAAACAGGATATCTGCTTATTGTGCCATAATAATATCAGAACCAAACAATTATACTATAAATCATGATAACTCCAAAAATAAACTCCATATCATTGAACTTTTTTGTTATGATTTAGGAATTGATGTACTTATTGTACTTATACAAATATTTGTGTACAGGTACCTAAACACCCAATTTAATTCTATAAAATAAAATAAGCAGTTATTAATTTTTAATTTCAAATAAATAGGTACCTACCATATAATATATATCTATATTATGTATGCAGGGGCGTATTTAGAAATTTCTAATAGTAGGAAGGGTACAAACAAAAAATTCAAATTATACATCTTTATAAGTTATACCTCACATTTGCCTTTAAAATAATGTATGTAATAAAGTATAATTATGGTGAATGAGGGCCACTCGTGCACCACTTTAATATGTCCCTGATGGAATATAAAATACTGGTTAGTATTTTATAAGTACCTATCTAAAAACTACTTTGTTTCTCCTTAATTACTATGAAAATCAAAATATAGCTTAAATTAATCCCACTAATAATTTTAAAAACTAAATGTGGAATTATAAATAAAATTTTCATCTTTTTTAGATCATTCATTGTTATAACTTATATTATAGACATTTTTATCAAATTACTACTTATATGTACTTTATTTTTTGATCTGTTCTTATTTATAAATGTATAGGTACAAGCATTGATTAATGTACAATATGGTACAAGGTACTTACATAATAGGTTACAAGTTACAACTACCTATTTATTTTAAGCTATTATTACCTACCATAGAACAATTGGTTATTAGTTATTACTTATTACTCATAGTCATTATACCCACCTCTGCAATACGTATTATTTATTGTTAAGTGGTATAAATGTAAAGAATATCAATATGGTACCTAATTTGTATATTTAGGTATATGTAATATGTACAATTTTTATTTTATATTGTAGCCTAAGGGTACTAGGTGTCTAGGCATAGGCGTGCGCAGCCTTCGGTTTCAGGGGCAGCAAGAGATTAATTCGGCCCATTTTTCAAATTCACCATTAAAACCTGCCCATAGTTTTACTTTTTTTACTATTGGATATAAAAATTAAAATTGTATTGGTTATTTGTTTTTTTGGATAAAAGGTTGTACAGTAAGGTACTAAGCCACTAAAGGTGTACTTTTCTACAAGCATATATATAAAATATTTATCTATAGTTTATCAAAACAAAAAAAATCCTTTGTGGAAATATAATTTTACCAAGGCCCATTATTTAATATTTGCCGGCCCCGGTGGCCCCAAAGTAAGTCCAGGGGCAGCATATGCTGCCTCTGCTGCCTCCGTGCGCACGCCTATGTGTCTAGGTACAATAGTGGAAATGCTTTGTGCCCTCTGACCACCACATTACTGTAGTACACTAGTACTGTACTACTGTTTATACTAAGGACATAGGTAGTCATGGTAGACATAGTTAGTATGTGGATCAGGACGATCAGGTCATTCAGCACCGCCACAAATTATATATCTTAATTAGTGAGTACCTCAGACATAAGGCATATCTATTAGTCAATGATCAGCACTGATCTGGATGTTCTATATATTCAGTTCAGTGATCTTAAGTCGTGGTCGTAAACTCGTAATACAAATAACTATTTAATTTAATTTTGTGTTATTATAAGCTATAGTGTCCTGTGTCAATTGTCATGACAAATTTAAAAAATACAATACATTCATAATAATACGCTTAACTGCTTAATTGAGTCACAAAAATGTATTTTGTCTATAAAGATTTGTCAATATTGTCATGAATCATGATCATGAATAGTGAAGACTATAGAGATTCTCTTATTATTCATTAATGGCCCTATTGGCCTATACGGGCTATAAGACATCGTGTTTATTGTTTAATAGTCAATAATTATGATTTATGAGTTTATTTATTTATGTGACATATTAAATTTTATAAACAGTAGCTACTATACAGTATTATAGAAACAATTTTTTTTTTATAGCAATTAATTGTCAAGCTATGTCATTTTTTTATGTCATGTTTCTATTGGGTATTGTTCAATGGTTTTCAATAACTTACATACGTGATTTAATAAGAATTAATATGAATAATTATGAAAGTAGGATATTAATTGGTTGATGCTAGTGGCTGCACTGGTAATACTTTTAAATTATCTTATCGTTTATTTCATGGACCTGATATCAAGTTTATTTAAAAACAATAATATTATCATCCGGCGGATGCTTATTTACGTTTATTGATCACACCACACATCACACCATGATCTACCGATAGATAAACTGTTTAAGGTATAGGTATTATTGCCAGAGTAAATGTGAAATAGTTTTATACTAACCATTAAGTGTTTAGTGTCTTAATTTTATCCGTAACACGACAACACAACTATAATGAATTTGGTACCAGAGAAAAACAGCGATTTCAGTACAACGGAGTATTGGGACTCATTTTTTACAAAACGTAAAGCTACTTTCGAATGGTATGGTAATTATGAAAATTTAAAACGTTTACTCACCAAATACATTAGTGCTAAAGATATTATATTAATGTCGGGCTGTGGAAATTCTGATCTTAGTTTAAACTTGTACTCTGATGGATTTGTCAACATGACTAGTGTGGATAATAGTGAAGTTGTAATTGCCAACATGAATAATAAACATAAAAACAAATACCCAGGTCTAGTTTATGAAATTGAAGATATATTAAATACCAAATATGCTGATGAAAAGTTTAGTGCCGTTATTGACAAAGGAACACTGGATGCTTTGATGCCAGATGGTGAAGTGGAGTCTCTTACACGTGCAATGAAAATGTTTAACGAGATCAAAAGAATATTGAAATTTGGAGGGCGATATATTTGTGTGTCCCTTCTTCAGTATCATATTGCACAGTTTATATTTTCCTATTTCAGTGAAAATGGTTGGATAATTCGTGTTTGCCAATGTACAGAAGTTGAAGACTCCCCAGATTTCAATGGCCAACCTGTATTTATGGTTGTCTGCACTAAAGTAAATAAAATACCCGGAGCTAATCCAGTTCTTGAGTGGAATCCAGATGGACTTACAAATGAGAGATTAGATTCAATAAATGATCTATTAGAAATAGTTATTGATACTCAGAAATCTATTTCAATGTGTTTTGATCTCACTAAATGTCAAATGGAAGACATATCAAATAATTATCGATTTGAAATTAATTGTTCCCAAACAAAAAAACCTCGTTACACAATTATGATTGTTGAATCTCCTACTCAAAAAAATCCAAGTAAAATGACTTTTGCTGCATTTATTGTTCCTCATGGTCGAGAACATGAGTGGTTATTTAGTAGCGAAGAAGGGCAAGATATACTGCGACGGAATTGTAATGTAGATCGTTTAGCAATTATTAGTATGCATCGAGGACAGATCTATAAGAATTTAAAACAAGTACAGGGAGAACTATCAAGACTTATGTTGAAAATAGCACCACAAGGTGTCATAAGACGTGGTGAAACCATATTATTTTTATCATTAGAACAACAACTTGGAGACAGAAAAATCATAATGGAAAGCAAAAGTGAACACTCTGGAAATTTTGTAATAGAGGAAGTAATTGGGCAAAAAGATGAAACTTATAGACGTTTAGTATTCCTTAACATGCCTCATATCATTCAATCAGAAACAAAATTACTGACTGAAAATGGAGAGGTCAAAATCGATTATTCCCATTTCCTCAGCGATTACATACCATATTTGGGCCTTGGTGTGGGCATTTTAGCAAATCAATTAAATAGAGAATCTAAAATCCTTTTAATTGGTTTGGGTGGAGGTGTACTTACTAATTTATTATTAAATGCTTATAAAAATGTAAATATTGTTGCTTTAGAAATAGATCTAGTCGTATACAAAATAGCCAAAGAAGCTTTTGGTCTGTTAGAGGACAACAGATTAGAAGTAAATGTTTGTGACGGTCTTGAATATATATGCAATGCTGTCAAAAATAATGATAAATATGATGCAGTAGTATACGATGTTGATGTTAAAGATCCTACATTGGGTTTAAGTGGACCACCAAAAGATTTTTTGAGACAAGATATACTGAATCACGTAAAAAGTTTAATCGGAAAAGACGGTTTATTTTTATTGAACTTTGTCTGTCGTGCATCTGATGTTAAAGCTGAAATTTTAAATGTTTTGAAGACTAATTTCAAACAACTAACATCATTAAAAATTGCTGAAGATATTAATAGAGTGCTGTTAGCAGGAAATAGTGATAAAGCATTTGATGTACACCTTTTGGAACAAACTGCAGCATACATGAACCAATGCACCAAAAGTAACCCACTCATTGCTTGTGATGTCATTGATATGTCTGCTTTGAAGGAAAATATTGAAGATATTTAATGCTGAAGCATTTTATAAATGCTTTATTTTTTCATACTTAATTACTGGTACTATTTAAGTTTTTATGAATAATTTAATTAAGATACATTAAGTTTATAATATATTTAATTGTTACATTTTTAAAGGTTGTTGTAACTTTTTTTTGAAAACATAAGAACAATAATTATTTAGAAATATTAAAATAATAAACAAATTTCTTAGATATCACATTTGTTTTTAACAATATTAGCTTTATTGTGAAATTATTATATTATTTGCTACAGGTACCAGCCTCATATTTTGTGGATTATATTAATTGTTGGGTTTTAAAAAATATTTTTTAAATACAAACATTTTTATTTTCATTCACTTATATTCTTTATACAAGTAAGGTATAAGAGTATAATGATATTTTCCAATTTAAAACATTGTTTATAGTCTGTAACAAATAAGAGTACATCGCGTTGGCGCTCCAAATGAATAGCGGAGCAACGTCTGATGTGCTCTTATTTGGTATAGACTATAGAGTTAATTTACTCTTAACCCATAAATTACACTTATTTCACACAACACTAATATGCATTTTACATATTTTAAAGGTTTAATTCACCCTGTTTAAAACAATTATAGTAAATAAATTATTGGAAGCACACTTTATGAAAATGAAATGTTATCAAGAAAAATTAATTTGAGAAGTACATTGTTTCATTAGTGTTTGATTGAGCTTCTATTAGACAATTTGTATCCAAGTTGCTAAGAGTATTTGTTATTCTGTCGACCAATTTTTTTCTGTACCTGTACACGGTGCGGTCCACTGTAGAGTCTGCAGTTACACAATCATTTCCTCCATACTCACAAACCCTATAATGATGAAGTATTGCACGTTCTGGGGTAAAATAAAATGTTCCATCATTAGGATTTAAAAACTCCCAGATAAAATGATTTCCAACTTCTACTATTCGTTGCGGATCACAAATATATTTTGAACGTTGTTTATGTGGATGCAATTTAGTCTTACGCCGTGTTTTACGTAATACTACAAGATTTGAATGAAATGGATTCTGATCTAAGGGTAAAGAGTCATCATCAGCCCATTGCATGTAGAAGAAGGCATTACGGAATGAATAAGCAGCTGGAGTTTGATAAATGTTTAACCAGCTAAAAATAAACAAGTAATAAAATTAATTTTACATATTTGTATGCATCAGAAAATCTTAACATTAAACATACTTAATTAATTTGATTAAAGTATCATTTTGTCTAGGAACAATAATTTCATCTATGTCTAAAAATGCCACATATTTTGATTTGTACATATTTCTATACAAGCAATCATTAAGCGCAGCAAACATTCCTTCAGTTCTGATTTCTTGCTTGGATGCCATATCCAACTGCCAAGGTAAAACAGAAACCAAATTGTCTTTTATGTAACGGTCCAAAACACATTCAACATTTGGCCCAATAGTGTTCTTATAAAATGTAAAATGTCCAATCCCGAGTAAATAATTTAACTCTACAAATTCCATAAGTTGTATTGCCTTAAATTAAAAACAAAATATATTATAATAATTATTTAAAATATATAGGGACCTGAATAAATTTGAATGATGAAATAATTACTCGATCATAATAATAATGAAATGGCTTAACACAAATTTCTATATCAGTCTTGAGTTGACTAGTTGGTTTTGGCATTTGAATCAGAATTTCATTCGTAATTGGATCTTTAATATGAGATACAATAGATACGCTTAACGGATGGTTTCCGTCTGATGGTAATTTGCACAACACAAATACTGCACTGTACTTTAGATTCCAGTTTTCCCGGATTGCTTTCACAAATGCTGAAACAGTCTTGGAACTATTTGCATACCATAATCTACACCAAACTGGATCTGGTTTTCGAGTTTTGGTGGCACCAATTATGCGTACCAATGGTCCAACAGATTTGATTCTTGTATCCAAGTATGCTGAATAAATGAAAAATTTGTACCTATTTGATGATATAAACATATTAAAATCAACACATTAAAAAAAAATTTCAAATAGTCACAATACTTTGTTGATTGGACTTTTTGCCAAACTGCGTCTCTTGGAACGATTCCACTTCGATTGGGTAATGTACGTTCTACATGCGGTGGATGTATGATATACTGTTGTTTTGCAGGCTTGTAATGGGTCGGTGGTTTAAGTTTTTGACTATAATACTTGTTGTCCTGAAAATGAATATACTGATCAACGTTATTCACAATAATTACATATTTACATGGTGTAGGGTAGTCTGTTAAACTCACTTTAATGTCTACGCTGTTGGGTTTTTCATCGAAGACAAAAAACACTACGAACAAGGTAAGAGCACCAGTGAACAAGAGCAGCAACAGACGGACTCGAGTTTTCATCATTGAATCACTCAGGTAGTACTAAAGTTGTAGTATTGTACGTGTATTGATAACCAACATCGCGTTCTGGGGGAGGTTATATTTAAAAAAATTAATTTCAAAAGCATCGGACGCGATTTGCAACATACTAAGTTGCGGTCGCGGGCGTACCTTTTTGAATTGTTCCATCGGGACGAAACGAAATCGCTATAATATGACGTTATCTAAGGCTATGACGTCGGACCGAATCCGCCCGGTGAGCGAAGAACACCGGCCAGCCGCATGCCTGTCTCACAAACCTGAGGCAGCAACAGAGCAGCGCCTACCGTCGATCATCGACATGACGACGGTCGTAAAAGGAGCGGCGCCGAAAATGAACAGCGTCGTTATCGTCGTTATTGACATTGCGAACGATGACATGCGTTCGTATTCCCCTTTATAATAATAATCATTCGATTGCGGCGGACGTGATCAAACCGCTCTCGTTTGTATTGAATATTTAAATTATGCAATTATTATTTTATTATATATCGCGCGGTACAACACCAACTATACCGGCGATGAATGATGACATACATAGATAACCATTAACCACGAACACGCAATTACGAAAGACTATTATTGATTATGACCGATGACCACAGAATAAAAGACTATTTGGTTATGCGATTGACGGTCAAACGACGATTATAATATTACAATTTATAACATAATATTATTGTATTAAGATTCCGCGTAGACCGTGGGCGCATAGCTTAATTATTATTATTATTATTATTATTACTGTGCATAGTGCATGGGGGTCGTACGATATGTTTTAATTCGCGTCTGCGCGGTGCACATCCCCTGCAAATATCACCCGGCCGGCAGAGCAGGCGCAACCCTAGTACAGACATACTATATACAGTAATAGTGTAATACCCTATAAACTGTTACACTCGGAAAGTCCGAACGTCGAATAAACACAGGGGCCTGGGACCGGGGGTAGCTCTCGATCGAATCAGCTCGGTGAGTCGGTTGACGGCGAGTGGTGACAACTGACAGTCGATGGCTTGTATACAAGCGGGACGCCGTCACACCAATGTACCGTTCGTACATTTTAATACTGCCATGCCCGCCTTTACCAACCAGATTTCATTATTTCAATTAATATTATTGTCAATATAATAGGTAGTATTTGTACGTAAAAATAATATGTCCAACATACATCGGAATATTGTTACACGTCTTATAGACTATGGTCATATTATTAATAATATTACACAATATAGGTACCAAGTGAAATGTCCGTACTTAAAATATTATTTATAAATTAATAATTTATACACATCATAATGATATAATATTACAATTTACTATTTTTCCCGTGACGTTTTTAATTTATTATATAGGTACCTATAAATATATTTATATATACCTACCTAAATTTTAACATAGGCGCAATTTGAGTTAAATTTATGGGCGTACTAGATTTATGTCGACTAAAGTGATGAGTGGGGGGCTTCCCCCCACCCCTCCACACCTTAATTTTATACACCTTCGCAATAATCTTAATATTATTATTATAAACAATTACCTACAACATTAAACATAATAGTATAATACATTATTATCTATACTATTGTTCTGATATTATTAGGTATTATTATGAAAATTATAAGGTCTTAGAATTAATTGTATCTAAATACCGATGGCATAATAGTATAGTCAATACAAATTCGATGATGCTATCAACAATTTGGGGTGCTAAGCACCACCAAGCACCCCCCAAATTGCGCCTATAAGTCCTATAATATTATGTTTTATATTAATTGAACACAGACAATAATGTATAGACGATGTGGTACGCATTGTATAAGCAGGATTTTAAAATTTGTTCTAAAATACCGTGATGTACCTAAGTAGTCGGAGAAAAGTACAATATTGAAAATTACAATATTTTGAACAATTGTGTGCGAAAACTTATACAAATAACAAAAACAGCATTGATTAATGACAGCTATGTTAATATAACCATATCTGGGCATGTAGAGGTCGATTATGTACAGACTTAATTACTTAAATTATTACATAAGGTTATACTTAGGTAGAAATTAAAAATAATCATCAGCTACCCGGACTGTTTTGCCTAGCATTACTTCCTCAAGGATCGGAGTGGGATCTACAGGCTCCGTCCATAAGCGTGTCTGCAGGTCGTTCCTGTCATGCACAGGTACGATGACCTTCAAAATTTGGAAACAAATCTACTTTAACAGACACCCTAGCTTTTAAAAAAAAAAAATACACCTTTTTGATTATTTATTTTAAAAACAATTGCGGAAACTTACCGTTAAAATGTTATTGTAATAATTATTACTGTCAATATTACAGTATACGGCTTAAATACACTACAATTTGCGCAAATCATTAGTTACTAAATTACAGTGCATGAGTAATCATGCACGGCATAGGCGAAAATCCATTAAAATTTCAGGGGGGCTAACATTATTAACATCAATATGAGCGGAGGGGGGCTTCGATCCTACAAAACTAAAAAATGAAGGTTTGACGGACTTTTGGGAGCCCTCTCCATCAATGATGCACGAGTATATACATTTCGATTTTTAATAAATACGATTATACAATTATGTGTTAAAGTACCTATGTATCTATAACAATACGTACCTAGTAGCTTCCTTAGCCCCCCCCCAAATGTCAGTCAAGTCCCCCCAGTTCAAAATCTAGTAATTAGTACTAATTATTATATTCTGTGGTACTAAGCAATATGGCCTATGGGGAGGGGGACTTGAGTCGGACTTTAATTTGCAGACTCTTTTGAACAGTAGGTACACCTAAGTTTCTGTAAATTTTTTAGAAGATTTTTGAATTAAGTTTGCTAACACAAGTATTTGTGAAAAACAATTTTAAAAAAAAAATAGTAGCCTGCTAAAGTAGATATATTCCATATATTATTTAGGTTGTGCACGATATGCGAAATAGGTCTACACATGCAGATTGCTCCGACCCTGGGGATAGCGCGTCGCCACTTGAAGTCGTAGGTACACAATATTATTCACTACCGATGGTAGACAGAAAAGATAGTAGGTACTACTTTTGTTCGATATCCGTTGGAGGACTGGGGCCCTTAGTCCAAAATTAGTACCTACCAACTAGATTTGGAACACAGCATCCCCCCCAACATTTAAGCCGTAGTTGCGCCACTGGCTATATTATATATTTTGAGTATGCAGGGAGAAAAAGTGTGTAGGTTAGGTTCGGTTGGGTATTTTATTATAAAGATGTTGTATACCTATACATTTATTTACCACTGTACACTGTTATCCACACTATAAAATAAATACATTAAAAGTACCTACACATAGTTTGTCAAAAATAGTAACAATATTGTGATATTTTCATACTAATATAAGTGACATATTAAATAAATTATACAAATATATTCTAGTTTCCCTTCCCCTGCCAAAAAAAAAAAAGTTTTCTATGTGGCCTGTTAATGATCTGAATGGCCTGCAAACATTTTGGCACCAACAAAAAAAAACATGAAATTTTGACTGAATGTTTATATTGGCATTTTCTATACACCATAACATTTTCCAAATATTTTGACTTATTTTGAGCTCTTTACGGACATTTTCATTTTCCATTTTTTTTTTGTATTTTTTCTAAAAATATCAATAAAATTTTATTTGTTGGTTGAAAAAGCTTGAACATTTAATAGAAAGCTCCTAGTATATTGTTTCAAAGGCAGATGAAAAACATTAAAAATCCTTAGTCACAGTTTTTTTTTATAAGCATTTAAAGTTCAAAATTTGACAAAATATGGAAAAATCACGAAAAATAGCAAATTATTTTGAGTTAAGAATTCGTAAACATTTTTATTTTTAAATCTAAGATTTGAAAATGTAATACAAGATTACTCATAAGTCTGTCTACCTTTATCAATAAAAAAATCTCTAATGGACAGTATTACATTTTTATGAGCGTTTGAAATTCAAATTTTTACAACATTGGATACTCACTCGATTTCTCATGTAGCGATTTCCTTATTTTGTTGTAATTCATAAACAAATAACTATAGATACAATGAAAATTTCACTGAATGTTTATATTAGCATTTCCTATACACCATACAATTTTGAAAATATTTTGACTCTTTTTGAGCTGTTAACGGATATTTTCATTTTTCAATTTTTTTAGTTTTTTTTTCTATGAATATCAATAAAGTTTTATCTGTTGGGCCAAAAAGTGTAAAAATTTAATACAAGGCTCCAGATATATTGTTACAATATCAGTTGAAAAATATTAAAAATACATAGGCACAATTTTTTTTTATAAGCATTTAAAGATCGAATTTTGACAGAATTTTTCAAAATCTCGAAAATTATCAATCATCGTAATTAATAAATTATAAAATGTTCAGTTTTTATGGCTAAGGATTGAAAATTTAACAAAATTTAACAAGATTCCACGTAAGTAGTTAATTCTGTTACCAAAAAATCTAAAAAGTACACAAGCACATTTTATTTTTATGGGTATTTTAAGTTCAAATTTGGACAAAATTACATAATAAAAACCTAGAATAACTATTTTAGTTATTTTGTTGTGATTAAATAATATTATTCGTGGGTATTTGAAACTTCTAAAGTACACTATATTATATATCTATGATAGTATCAGGGTTTGTTATTGATGTATAACGTGTTATAAGTACCTAATGGATATTGTGATATGATTAATTTGGAATTTATTGTAGGTCAATTTTTTTTTAATACCTTAGATATCTATATGTCTTAAACCTAGACTGACATACCGTCTTCGTTCAGAATCGTTTTTCTTATACAATGTCACAATGATATTGTATCATTGAATTCAAATTTAATTGCATCCATTATACAGTGACCCACTTGTAACCTACTGTACAGCAGAGCGACATCTACTTACCCGCCTTTTTTAATATTTATTATTTAATATTGGTTTGCCAATTAATAAAGTCATACTATGTAAGAAAATTAACTACTAATAGATTTTCAAAATAAAATATGTATGTTAAATATAGAAACAAAATCTAAGTATTATCTGATAAATTTCTAAAGTTCAGAAAATTTCAAATGATTTTTCATTTTTTTCTTAAATTATTAATTCAAGTGATAATAAATAGTAATTATTCAAAGTAACAAAGTTTTTAAGTGTCCAATGGGGGTTAATAGGTTTTTTTTTTGTTACTAGGAGTCTAACCTCTGTTCAAGTTAAGAAACGTAGTCGGCGGCTAGCTTGTGCGAATGGGTGTGGGCATGTGTCAATACTACTCGGCTAGTATATAGAAATTGACTGGATGGATAACTTAATATTTTAATCTTCAATTAATCACCTTTGATAATAATTATGTGATATAATATATTGTAAGCTTAATTTTAATAATTAATAGGATAAAATTAAAAATGTGCAAAATCTTTTATTGTTTTAATTAAATTTATTTTGCTGAATAACAAATGTAACAAGACATTATACATTACAATAGCATACTAACTAAGAAATGAATAGACTTTTCATTAATAGAACACTTGTTAACATAACTTTTAATTTCATAATTCAATATCAAACTTTAATAAAATAACACTTCAAAGTTCAAGTATATCAAACAAAGCCAAAGTATAAAATCATAGAATAAATGGTTTCAAAAAAAAGTTTTTCACATTTAATTCAAGAATACAATTTGTTTAAACAGATTTCTTCGTTATTTATAAACATAATTTCAATATAAATAATTAAATACATAGTTATTAGTTATTTTAATTATGAGAATATTTAATATACAGGATTGAACAAGTGTTTTTTGAGCAAAAATAAAACATAAGTGATTAACAGTTTGTTTTTGAAATATATTATTGTGTCTTATACATTTAAGTACCAACCTATAGTCTATGCTATTATTTTGGAAAATAACAACAATTCTAAAAGATATTTATGTTTAATAATATTAACCAATTAACCAATTAATTTAAGAAATTTTAGATAAGATTATTGCTGGGTTGCATAAAGTATTTATTAAATTTAATGGTTCACTAAAAATTTAATAAACCAATCGTGGGCCACTAAATCTTGTTTAAAGGATCATTAGCTCATTATTGATTCATTAAATGTTATGTACAACCTATCATTTATCTTTTTAATAAGTTATAGTGTATCTTTTGGTCTGATGACTGCTAAAATTTGAGTAAAAAACATAAATTGAACTGAATGTTCATAGCTATTCTCATTAATTTTAAAATCATTTATATATTTAGACATTTTATAATTGAGAACAATCTTGTAAAAACTTATACAACAATCAAACATATTGTAAAATAATACAATATTAAATATTAATATAACTAAAAGGAATATGTATAAAAAAATGTATTACATAATTATCTTTCTTTTATACAATATTAAACATTATTATAATTTCTTTGGTTTCTAAAATCAATTTTTCCATAGCAAACAATTTTAACATAAAACAAATTAGCTGTGTAAATAAAAACATAATATTTAGTACAAAAATAAGTATTTTTACTTTCATACAACAAATTCATTGTCTATAAAAAAATAATTACCCAGAGGTAAATTATTAAATCATTACAGTATGACAAGTTTAAGCATGTATGTTTAATAATTCATTGAATGGCTAAATAATAATAATAATAATAAAAATATAAATAATAATAATAATTATAATGTAAAATATAATAATAATAAATAATGTAAAATATAATAATAATAAATAATGTAATAAGTAATAACAAATAAAATATATATATAGTTATATGACAAATAAAAATGTATACACATTAAAAAACATTCACCAAAATTATAATGGGAATAATTTGAAGTGTGCAAATGGTAACTGAGATGACAACTTTGATTTTTTAGTATTGTTCACTCTTTGGTATATGTAATATGAAATATCTGTACATTGAATTTATAAAAATTTATCATTGTAACAACTTTATTTTAACATTTTTGATTTAATACCTAGTAAAAATGTATTATAATTAAACAATAAAATATTATACATAATAATTAATAATAATTATGGGGTATATATACCCAAACATACAGAAACTTTATATATCATGACACTATATGATTTTTCCCCAAATACTATTAATTTTTAAAATACAAATATTAAGATATATTTCCTATTTATTATACAACTACATTGTTTAGTTATATTATCAAATAAATCTAGTCTATACAATATTATTTTATAGTCCATTTATGACAAATAAGAAATTATTTTATACTTATAAACATAAAACACAGAATTCAAGTTTTATACCCGGTGATTCATTTAACGTAACACTCATTATTCAAAAATATTAATGTTTTTTAAAATATTTTTTTTATGGTTTCAAGTTACAAAAAAAAGTTTATTATTAAAAAATTATTTTTTAACTTGTTACTTTTAGAATGGCAACATACAATTTTAATTTAATTTTTGAAAGCAGAATATTTTTCTGAGTCTTTCGATACAAAAAATTGAATTTAGGAGTTATTAGTATTTAAAGTATTGGTGAGCAGAATAGTGGAACAACATTTTGTACCATTCTACACCGCTCATCTACTTTAAATACTGATAACTCATAAACTACTAGTTCTATTTGATTTTTATGTATCAAAATACTTAGAAAAGTATTCTGCTTTCAAGGATAAAATTAAAACTAAATATTGTCATTTAAAAAAGTTGTTTTTTAACAAATAGAAACCATGACATTTTTTTTTTCTAAAACATTTATACTTTTTGCAATAATGAATGTTCAATGATAAAAGAATCACCCAGTATACACATAGATTGCATGTAATATTGTGCTAATGTTTTAATGAACAGACAACAATAATTTCAGATAAACGATACAAATGACAATTGTATTTTAATTATACCTATTGTAATATAATATTATGTTGTAAATATATACATTGTAGTTTGAACGATTTATGCATTATTTGTAGTTTATTTATAATGTAAAGACTTATTAAATTTTAAGTATAATTCTTCAATTAAATTATAAATATTTAAAAAAAATTCGGCACTGTTTACTTTATATTATCACCTTTAATGAGTATAATTTTTTTAATGTTTTATCGTTTATAAATTATTACTATGTAAGTAAAGGTTGATAAGACATATACATACTCATATATTTATTATGCACATATTATAAGTATTCAAAATATGTTATTTTATACTTCTTAGATTATGTAATAATTTGATATTTATTAATTCAGATTACATATTTAATTTAGATAATACGGGTAAATTAATTAAATCGATACATTTTTTATTTACACTCAACAATTTTTTAAAAGTAAAATTATAAATATAGATTTTAACTAAGAAGTAATTCTTGTACTCAGTATTTGTTATAATCATAAATAATTTTAATTTTAAAATGTGGAAACTGGGAAATAACTTATTTTTGAACTTGTTTATATTCAAAATTTAGTTGAAAATAATGGACCATATTATATTAATTAAATTATATTATAAGCAACTTTTAACTAGTTTTAGTTATCACTCAAGCACAATAATCACAGTATTTTAAATTAATTTATAGGTTAATATTATCTCACACAGCTATATACTCACTTAATTAATAGATTTGTGAGTTGTATCCTGTAGGTTGTATCCATGTTAGAACTCAGGAAATTATATATTCAACTATTTTAATTAAATATTTAAAAATATACAAATATATATTTTTTTTTTAACTTTTTTGAATATTAAATTGTAAACAACCATTAATTATTTATTAAATAAAATAATGAGTTAAAATGTGTACAAATATTTATGATTTAAAAATTGCATTGTATTTGATGGGAGTTTATAATATGTTCAATAATATTATTTAGTGTCTATATTTTTCCCTGTCCCTTATAAAAATGAATTTTTTAATTGTCCTTTTTTTAGTCGTCACCGTTTTAACTGATTAACATATACTAACCACCAAAAAGTTCAGTGCTGAACAATACAAAAACAATTCTTATATGTAACAGAGTTATGAATAAGGTTATTTCCTTCATAATTTTTATGTTAATTAAAATAAAATTTTTGTAAGATATTAATATTAGTTAAATAGCCTAAAAAATATTCATAAATACAAACAATTATTGGTCCTCCACAATAAATATTTTTTTTTTTGTCATGGTTAAAATAACAAACACATTTAATAATCAAAAAAAAAAAAAAACTATTATGTAATAGAAAATATTTTGAGGAATTATTATAATTGTAAAAATATAACTAAATTAAAAATTGATAAATGTTCTGAATAAATTCAAATAGATATTATATCCAATAAGGAACTTTTTAATATATAAAACAAAATTTATCGTTTAAGTCTTTCATTATATTATCTAACACGAGATATAAGCAATGTTTACTAAGAGCTCTTAAGCCTTTTTTGTGATGCAAAACATATACAAAAATTTGACTAGTTAAAAATAAAATGAAGTGTTAAGACAAAAATAATTTGAATTAGCAATTTAAGGGTAAATAACATTTGATATGATAATAAAACAATAATATAATAATTATTAACTCACAGTTATCAACTGATATTTTGATTGGTTGTATTTTGCTGTTGTTTCGCTATAGCCATTGCTTGTTTGATAGCTTCTTTATAACTACTTGTTTTCTTGTGTTTGTTAAATCGAGACTATAAAAAATAATTTCTACTCAAAAATATTGAAAAATCATAATAATATTTAATATTATCAAAAAGTACTATTCTTTAAAATAATTATTTTTAAATGTATAATAGTGGAAACCATTAATTAAACAACACTATTTTTCAATAGGTAGTGAGTTTTTGGGACTGACCGGGTTGTATATAACCTCTTCCTAGAGCCTGTTTTATGTTTTAATAATTTACTTAATTGAAAGAAATATTGTACCTAATACTATCTTTGTTTATAAATAGTTGAACATTTTACTAAAACAAAAATACATTTACTTTTATTATTATTTAGTTATTTGAAAACTAAAGTAATAAATAAAGTTCTTTTAGAACATTTTTACTGGACATTTGATAGATGACAATTTCTGGTAAGGCAATTTTAGGTCAATACGGAGCAGAGGGATTTTTTTATTGGTCATTGCCCCCTTAAATATAATCATAAATACACCACTGTCTTTATATTAAGTAGTTACTAATTTTGATAAATGGTTTCTACTATGATTGAATAGTTACACAATTATTCTAAAATAAGACAATGGTGAATTAAAATTTGAGTCAACAATCGTTAATCGACCTTATCAGTCTGCCTCTAACTACTCATTAATACATTATTTGGGCATTTTAACACTAAATAATCTATTTTCCACCAAATCTTTTTCATAACACCTACATTTTATTTTTATTATTTTTTACATACCTTGTAAAAATCTAAAAATGGATTTATCTGATCGCAATTAAGAAAAGATGTAGTAGAAGAACCAAACCAAGTGACATTAACAAATGACCCATTTTCTTCACCATTACTTGTAGTAAAATTTGATACCTTAATAGTCAATATCAACAATTTTAATTTAAAACATAACATTTAGGTACCAATATCTGCTTTTAAAATTAAAATTTTACCGACTTTACATACCTTTGCTGGCCACCAAGGAAATCCTTTTACTTTTCCCCAAACAACATCGCCTTCGTGTAGAATTTTACCCGATTTCAATACAAAAATGGAATTAGAGTCTGATGATTCTATCTGAGGCATTACAAGTTCAGGTGAACTATTTGATTCAATATCATCATCAGAGTGTTGACCATTTACATTATTAATTGATTCAGAACTATTAGTTTCTTTTCTTGCACAATATTCCTCTTTAGAATTAAAATTATTTAAATGTATTGAGAAATTATTCATTTCTAAATCATCCTCATGTTCTTTATGTCTTTTCTTATGTTTTTTTCTTTTTTCTCCATCTTGTCTTCTACGTTTTGCTCTTTTACGCAAGAGTTTATCTGGTTCACTATCTCCATCAGCTTGACGAGATGGTATTTCCATAACTGTACCTTCACCTTGAGATCCAAATGTTATTTTTATTATTGGTGTTTTTTTAGTTTCTTCAAACGCTGTTTCATCCCATAGATCTTCCATCGATCCAATGCTAGGTTTTTTTCTTAACACCATTTTTTCTTCAATATCACAGTCATCTTCACAGTCTTTTTTGTTACCTACCCATTCATCTAGTTCAGTGAATGTTGAATAATTATTAAGTGCCTCTGTTATTTCTCTTGATTTAATTTTTACAAGTTTAGGTATCAAGGTACGGCACATAGATTTAACTTGAGATACAGTTGATACAGAATCTGATGGTTTTATAGGAAACTCTGGAACAGGTCCATGACTTCGTAATAATCTCTTTTCAGGAATTGTATTATTTTCATTTTTAACAAGATCTTTAGAGGTTTCAACATTATCTGAATTTTCAGTACAATTTGATTTACATTTTGAACATAGAACTTGACGAGGTCTTAGACGAACAGTCATGGGTTTTCTCACTTTTTTAGTTTTACTGGGAATTTTTTTTAATGTGTTGGGGGTGTTTTGGAAATAGGTAAAACGTTGACTTACAGAATATAAAATGTCATTATCAGATTCAGTCTTTAAATTTCTGGGCGATAGTGGAGGTTTTGTCATAGGAACACTTCCACATGGAAAACGTCTAAAAGTGCACACAAATGTATTTATAGTTTTAATTTATAAAATTTAAATCTTACCTTTTGACATTGTTCAACAGTATGCCTTGGTAAACAGACCCATTTATGGCAGTGTATGACACTACAATCATATCTGGCGTAACACTCTCGACCACCACCTGTATGACAGCATTCTCGAGGACCCCAATATTTGTATCCATCTGTAGTTAGCATTTGATTACTAAAGGGATCACATAATTTCAATTAAAAAAACATTTTATTTATTTATTATGCACCTATATAATTTAAAAATAAAACTGCTCAAAATTTAGCATGTGTACGTAAAAAAACTCACAAATATTATAACTGTAACATATACAGTGAACAATTGAATATTCTTACTGATATTGATATTTAAGTATTTAACCTAATACGTATGTTATTAAATAGGTAAGTACCTAATAAGTATGAAAAAAATTATCTTATTAAAATGTTTAGTAAAAACTAAAAGGCTGAAATGCTGAATGCTGAAAGGCAAAAAGTGGTACACTGTTACAGGAGACGTGGGGTGGAGCTTTGATAAGGATCATGATTACACGACACCAAAGAGATTTTACAAATAAACTATTTAGTTAACAAAAAGTTACACGATAATATTATTTTTAAATTTAAATTATTGTTTTTATTACAAATTTATTAATACAAATTGAATACAAATAAATAATATATTACTATATAGTACCTAGATAATCAACTACTTCGTAAAATAATTTTAATGAAGCATGTTTTTCCTGTTATTTAATTATAATTTATATTAGGGTATAAGTATTAGGTAGGTACCTACCTAGTACCTACTACCTACATATATCACAAATTGTCCAGGGTTTATTCTAAGGACTTTTATCAACTATAATATGCATTTTAGATTCTGAGTGGAACGATGAATGTATTGAATTTACAATGACGTGTGTTTTATTTTAGTTTTTTTTTTTGTGTCTGTCATCACCTTTTAAGGCAATAAAAGTGCTTGGATTTTCTTCAACAGTATCTTTTTTGATAGAAAAGTGAATCTAGTTGGTACTTTGGCGGTCAAAAGTAAAAATTTCCCAGTAGTTTTCAAAAGTGCCTTGAAAAACAAAAGAAAATTTAAGGAAAAACGAGAATTTTTATGCAAAATCTGTTTTTGAGAAAATCGATTTTGGTTTTAGGTGCAAATCTTAAACAAATTACCGTAGATACATGCAATTTTGACTGAATGTTTATATTAGCATTTTCTATACACCATAACATTTTCCAAATATTTTGACTTGTTTTGAGCTCTTTACGGTCATTTTCAGTTTCCATTTTTTTTTAGTTTTTTTCTATAAATATCAATAAAATTTTATTTGTTGGGTGCAAAAGCTTGAAAATTTAATAGAAGTCTCCCAATATATTATTTCAAAGACAGATGAAAAATATTATAAATCCATAGTCACAATTTTTTTTTTATAAGCATTTAAAGTACAAATATTGACAAAATACGTAAAAATGACGTATATTTGAAATTATTTTGAGTTAGAAATTCATAAAAATTTTTCTTTTTAAATCTAAGATTTGAAAATGTAATACAAGATTCCTCATACATTTGTCTACTTTAATCAAAAAAAAGAATGTCTACAAGAAAGTCATATTAAACTTTTATGAGCGTTTGAAATTTATATTTTTACAACATTTGATATTCATTTGATTTCTCTTGTAGGCAATAATAATAATAACAGCGTTTGAAAAATAAACGGGCCCGAAATCCAGCTGATACCGGTCGATTAATAATGTGATGGCGTACTTGCTGGCTACTAATAAACGATGTTTGTTTTAAAATATCATTGACGGCAAAGGAAGAAATCCCTAAATCAGCACATTTGCAACTCTGACACCTATAAGTGGTCAAAAAACCTGTAAAAAAATAGCTGCATCGCATAATGACGAAATGACAATGGAAACAACCATCAAGCACATTTTGGGAATAAGTCGAATACGAAATTATGGAGGAAGAACTTGGCAGATCGATTACGAGGAGCCCACTATCAGTCACATAGAGGGACTTTTGTCATATGTCTCCTTGGTCATAGTCTGCGGCAGGCGGCGACGGAGACGCCAGGACGAAAATCAATGAGAGTAACAGGACAGAGGCGCGTTGCGATGCTGTCAGCAGATTCTTTCACCTTTTCACCCAGTGGTACGATCCCGAGTCCGCCGAGTCGCAATGCCGTCGATTCCGCAGCTGCACCTAGATTATAGTCTTCGTCGCTAGCTCGCTCCGAGGTTTGCAGGTCACCGTTGTCGCCGGCACAACAGTCGTCTTCAGCACCTGAAGCACCGTCAAGCAGGGTACGACATCGCTCACTAGCCTCTCGTCGCCAACCGTCGTCGTTCTCGCAGCCGTCGTGGCAAGGCTTTGCCCGCTGCCATGGTCGTCGTAGCGTCTCGAGCAAACGCGCCCGCGACTCTTTGCCCTGCAGGACAGCCAGTGATAACGTTGTAGAGGAGACCAGTGGCCATATACCAGGTACCAATATCATAAGCACCACCAACTCGCCATCACGTACCCCCCCCCCCCCACATCATCGCCTCGTCTTGTCCGATGACTTTTAGATTCTGAGCGGAGCGATGAATGTATTGGTTTTACAATGATGTTTGTTTTTATATTTTTTTATTTTTTTATTTTTTTTTGTGTCTGTCATCACGTTTTAGGACAGTAAAAGTGCTTGGATTTTCTTCAACAGTAGCTTTTCTGATAGGAAAGTGAATCTAGTTGGTACTTTGGGGGGGTCAAAAGTAAAAATTTCCCAGTAGTTTTCACAAGCGCGCGAAAAACAACATAAAAATTAAGGAAAAACGGGAATTTTTACGCAAAATCGGTTTTCCAAAAAATCGATTTTGGTTTTTGGTGTAACTCTAAAATAAATGAACGTATATACATGAAATTTTCACTGGTTGTTTATATTTGCATTTTATATACACGATAACGTTTTCAAAATATTTTGATTTATTTTGAACTGTTTAGGGACATTTTCATTTTCCATCTTTTTTTAGTTTTTTTTCTAAAAATATCAATAAAATTTTATTTGTTGGTTGCGAAAGCTTGAAAATTTAATAGAAGGCTCCTAATATATTGTTTCAAAGGCAGATGAAAAATATTAAAAATCCTTAGTCACAATTTTTTTTTATAAGCATTTAAAGTTCAAAAATTGTAAAAATATGGAAAAATCACGAAAATTAGCAAATTATTTTGAGTTAAGAATTCGTAAAAATTTTTCTTTTTAAATCTAAGATTTGAAAATGTAATACAAGATTACTCATAAGTCTGTCTACCTTTATCAATAAAAAAATCTCTACCGGAAAGTCAAATTAAATTTTTATGAGCGTTTGAAATTCAAATTTTTACAACATTGAATGTTCACTCGATTTCTCATGTAGCGATTTCCTTATTTTGTTGTAATTCAAAAACGAATAACTGTAGATACATGAAAATTACACTGAATGTTTATATTAGCGTTTCCTATACACCATACAATTTTGAAAATATTTTGACTGTTTTTGAGCTGTTTATGGACATTTACAGCTTTCAATTTTTTTTAGTTTTTTTTTTCTATAAATATCAATAAAGTGTTGGGCCAAAAAGTGTAAAAATTTAATACAAGGCTCCTGATATATTGTTACAATATCAGTTGAAAAATATTAAAAATACATAGGCACAGTTTTTTTTTATAAGCATTTAAAGATCAAATTTTGACAAAATTTATCAAAATCTCAAAAATTATCAATCATTGTAATCAATAAATTATAAAATGTTCGATTTTTAATTTTTATTGCTAAGGATTGCAAATTCAACACAAAGGTTCTCGTAAATAGTTCATACTGTAACCAAAAAATCTAAAAAATATATGAACACAGTTATTTTTTACAGACATTTTAAATTCAAATTTGGACCAAATTACATATTAAAAAACCTAGAATAACTATTTTAGTTATTTTGTTGTGATTGAATAATATTATTCGTGGGTACTTGAAACTTCTAAAGTGTACTATTATATATCTATGATAGTATCACGGTTTTTATTGATGTATATAACGCTTATAAGTACCTAATGGATATTGTGATATGATTAATTTGGAATTTATTATAGGTCAATTTTTTGTTTAATACCATAGATATGTATATAATATGTCTTATACATAGACTGACATACCGTCTCCGCTCAGAATCGTTTTCCTTATACAATGATATTATATCGTTGAATTCAAATTTAATATCATCCATTATACAGTGACCCACTTGTAACCTACTGTACAGCAGAGCGACACCCACTTGCTCACCTTTTTTTTCATTTAAATTATTATTTCTTGTTTTTAGGGTTCCGTACGACCGTACCTCAAAAGAAAAAAACGGAACCCTTATAGGATCACTTTGTTGTTCGTCCGTCCGCGCGTCCGTCCGTCCGTCAATTTATGACGTTTTTCTCAGGAACGCGTGGAGGTATCAAACTGAAATTTCTATATGATACTCAGGTCACTGAGTACTACTGTCCCTGGAAGCTGTAGAAAAATCAACCTTCTAAGCCAACGCAATCAAAAGATACAGCCATTTAGGCCGCAAATTTCCGCAAATGTTCGAAACTCGCACGGGAATCAAAACCTACAGGATACTTCCCGTGAACTTAGAATCTTGAAATTTCGTGCGAAGTCACGCCTTATAGTACAGATATAGGAAAAATTACGAAAACCATACATTTTTAGTTTCATCATATAAAAATAAAATATTTTTGAAAAATATTATTGACAATTTTGAAAATTTCAAAGTTACTACTTCTTATCTCATGAACGCGTTGAGGTATTAAATTAAAATTCATATTAAATACTTAAGTCTATAATACATTTAAACTGTAACAAAATCAAACTTTTATGTCAACGCAATCGAAAGAAATAATAACAATTTAAGCCGCATATTTTCAAACTCGCGACTACTTGCGAGGGAATCAAAACCTATAGGGTACTTCAAGTCGATTTAGAATCTCGAAATTCGGCATGAAGCAATGTTTTATCGCACATATAACAGAAAAATTCCGAAAACCTTAAATTTTTAGTTAGATCACATATTTTTTTTTTTTTTTTTCAAATAATTTTAAACTTATTATCCTTTTCCTCATGAACGCGTAGACATATCAAGTTGAAACTTATATTAAATACTTAAGTCTAATTTGCCATTAAGCTGTGAAAATAAAACAAATTTCTAAGTTAACGCAAATGTACAACAATTTATAGGTACCTTATACTTTGAAACTCGCAACTACTCGCAAGTGAATCAAAACCAACATTTAGATTGAGATTATAAATATAATTGTAGTTACCGCAATGGCCGCAACTTACCTCTATGTATTGAGAGGAGACAAAATTTTTCAATCAGCTTGTTACAATAAAATATAACACGCTGAATTACCCGTCGTTGCCGGGTTAAAGTATAAAAACATTAATAATAATTCAGTAAATTTGATAATATTTTCAAATTCTTATTCATCTGTTAAAACATTTTATAATTCGCCCGTGTGTAAAAAAATTACCTCCCCGTCACCAGACTTGATCACGTCCCATGGGAATGCATTCCCGTTCCCGTCCCATAAAAATACCATAACTATGACTCGATTGTCGTGTTGGTTGAACTTTTACTTAGGGCCGCTTTCACCAAATACTTTAAACTTCGATTACGCTTAATCGACTGATAACAGATATTTAACCGGGCAAATTCGGCCGATTAAACACCGGTTTAACTTTAATCGGAGTTTAAAGTAGTGGTGAAAGCGGCCCTTATATACCTACAGGTTTGTACGGAACCCTCGGTGCGCGAGTCCAACTCGCACTTGACCGGTTTTTATTTGCTACTTTTTAGGGTTCCGTACGTTTCCCTACGGAAGCCTATTATTTTCGCTCGGCTGTCCGTCTGTCTGTCGCCAAGCTGTATCTCATGAACCATGAAAGTTATAAAGTTGAAATTTTCACAGATTATGTATTTCCGCGGATGCTATAACAACAAATACTAAAAAAAGTGAGCCGTCGCGGGACGCCTAGCAGATGTGAAACATCAAAAATTTGAAAATGTTGAAAATAGATGGTGAATAAGATGACTATGAAATAATTTCTAAGTTAATATCATAAGACTATTTTGTTTTTTATTTGCATATGAAGTACTTAAGAGATTTACAAAGACATACAAAAATATACAAATGTAATAATATAACAACTCTAATCAATATTATCTGTTGCCTCGTCAGTTATTTCTGTGACAGTAGCAGTTGATGCTTCTAATGGTACAATTGCTGGTATCAATGTAACAATTGGACGATGATAACTGAAATATGCAACAAAAGTACGTGACATAACGTTATCAAAGTACCTTGTTCATACTCCATCTATAGCAGTTCCATATCTGGTTGTTGCTTCTCTTGCAAGCCCGGATTAAGGATCAATTGGGCCCTGGGACACCATACACTTAGTGGGCCCCCTTTCAACTTTAACTTCAAAATAATTGTATCATTACATATTAACGACTTTAGATTATTGTATAATTTTTTACTATACAAAAATAAAAAAATATAAAGGGTGTACCCTATGTCATTGTATGCTGTTTTTTTTAATAATTAGATCAATGATATGGAATTTCGTTAATACAAAAAAAGACAATCGTTTCTTTATTTTTAACAGGCAATTTATTTTATAACATATTCAACATTTTTAAACACGCAGTTGTAAAAATAATAAAATCGACTTTATTTTTTCAAATGGTAACCACTATGTTTTTTTATGGATTCCGCTAAAGATTTTTTTCTAAACATTTTGACAGTCAAATGATCAATTTTGGTTAGCTAGGTTATTAACTATGATCTTCTAAAGTATGCAATAGTGACGATCAAAATTGGTCTTGGTCTTGAGGTCTCGCAAGACTCTTGCTGCAAGACCAAGACCAAGATTAGGCTTGCAAGAACAAGACAAGACCATCACTCCAAGACTCATGTGGTCTTGAAATTTTTTTTTTTTTTCCCCGAAAACACATTACTGTATCTAGATTTCATTAACTAATAATTTATAACGAAAATAAAAAGAATTTATTTGTATTGTTATGAAATTTGACCAATGTTCGAGGAAATGGCGAATTATTGAAAAAAAGATTAGAAATATAATGGGAATTGATATTACAAAATAACATAGTTGTTCATACTAATTAACAATTATTATTTTATTTTCCCAAAATCGATAAGTTTCATCTTAGAGATCATAACAAAAAACCTACACACAGCTATAACAGGTATTTAGTTATTTTTTATACATTTCGTGAAAATAGCAAGAGTCTTGCAAGAGTCTTTCTCAAGATCAAGACCAAGACCAATACTGAGTCTGCAAAATAAAGACCAAGCCCAAGATTTTGAAAGTCTTGGTCTTGGTCTTGTTTTGATCATCACTAGTATGCATTAATACCTTTAACTGAAATACCTAATTTACAAGAGCTAAATATTATTTTCTTATAACTACCTTTTATATACTTTAATAGTTAAATTGGTAATCTAAAATGTCTAAAAAAACAAAAAAACCGAACAAAAAAACCAAAATTTATTGGCAAACATATTTCATTAGTTTAGAATTTTGGGTGTAGAATTGAGAACATATTTTTTTATAATGCGAATATAATTGAACCTACTAATCTACCTACGTAACATAATTTTTTTTGTTTGAACTGTATGGACCACGTTAAAAAAATTATTTTGGTGATAAGATGGCCACTAAATCAATGGGCCCCGGACCGTGGCCGCCCCCTTGGCCACGCCCCTTATCCGTGCTTGTTCTCTTGGATAGTATTAATATGCAACAATTTTTTCCTTGAAGAAATGTAATTAATTGTAATGAATTGTCTGCTTGCGAAATTACATTAAATCTCCTGCTACAAATGATGGTAATTGTCTCAATATCTTTCAAAGCACGATCCTTGGTGACTATAGGAAGTAATCGCCGCTGTGAAATGCAATGATATCGTTAATTTTTTGATTGGGTGAAATGTATACAATGACCATGAGAAATTCTTTTCCGTCATCCATAACAATTTGAGAAGCACACAGGTCACCTACAGGTGCTTTACTCACGTTAATTTCTGTAGAATTTTGTACCATAAGATCTATATTATTGGTCGAAACATGAGAAATATTCGAGCTCTGATATATGGCAACTCCAGCGGCTTTAACATTTTTTCGTTTAAAGTGAGCAATACAATTAAAAGTTGATATCATACCTATTTATTTTGTCATGGCTACGCCACAGTCGGTCTCTGTACCGCGCCATAAGATGTTTCACATCAAAAAGGGATAGGAGCAACCCCGTGGGGTGCTAAAACGGGAATTTTGAGATTTCAGATGGAAATTTTTGTTTATAAATAGTTACCACGAGTGACGTCGTATTGTTAATAAATGGTTGCCATGGCCCATGAGTGACGTCGTATACAAAGATTCGTTTTATAAATTTCAATACAGAATTATAGTGAATAAGGAAAATAAGTTTAATAAATTCGTTTTAAGTTACAAAATTATACAGTCCACTGTTATTTTAATCGCCGGAACAAGTACCTACTGTTGAGGAGAAACTGCTGAAATTCAGATAACAGATATATTCGACATCACCGAAACTGCTATTCGTAGTAGGTACAACTGTTACACTTGATATCCGACTGTTTACTGTTTATTGAATGGCCTGGAGGAAATTTATTAACCTGGCCTGAATTTTTTTCCTACCCCGCAAATGACAACAGATATCATTTTAGATAATGGTACGGAACCCTTCGTGCGCGAGTCCGACTCGCACTTGGCCGGCTTTTTTTGTATCACGTAATATATTTGATTTTTCGGCATTCAAAATTTTAAAGCACTAAGCATTGATTTTCTATCTTTCATGAAATTATGTAATAAAATTATTTCTTCTAGACACAGTAAAATGTTGTTCCTTATTTTTCGTATTAATGAGTACGATTTTATTTATTTCAACAGAATAATGGCCTCACTGAACATGATCGTGTTCACGTGGGACTCACTTAGAATATTAAACAAAAATTTTTTTGTTACGTAACAAATCTCAATGAAATACATTGAAAGTATTGGCCACGTGAGAGTATAATTTTACCGTAGTGGTGACATTTTTTCTGCCCCAAAAAGTGATAAAAGAAGGAAAATGAATTTAAGAAAACACTCACACATTATTATAAAAACCAATCCATTCATCGCTCCGCTCAGAATTCAAAACAATAATAATAATAACTATAGTTTTTGTTATTATTGTTGTATGAATACCACAATGTTTCTTCTTAATACTTGGTATAGGTAGTGCGCCGACCTGTCGAAATAATTTTCGAATGAAAATAAAATTTGGTATTGAAGCATCATACGATTTTGGTTCAACATAATATATTATAAAGAATTAATGATGTTATATTAATTAGGACTTTCCATAACAAATGTTAACTTAAAAATCAGTTATAAATGATGAAAACTAAAAATAATAAAATATTTGGGTAGTATAAATAACGATTTATTGAGTACCTATACTTAGTTTTCCAGACGTTTTAAGATCTTGCATCATTTTTCTTATAATGCCAGTTGGTATAATCACTGTGGCAGGAGCAGAACAATCATTTTCCAAACTAAAACTAATACAAATTACTTAATAAACGCATGTGGACGAGTGCGTTTATCTAATACCTATAGCAATTTCAAATATAGAAAAAGAACGAACTAAAAATCTAAATATTGAGAAAATAATTGACAATTTTACCAAAGAAAGATCGAGAAAAGATATTTCTTACAATAGAATATCTTAGATATTTATGTAATAAATAATAATTATTATGTTAAATAAATAAATAATTATTTAAGATTACTCTTAAATATTATATTACCTATATGTTAAAATATGGTTATATATTTATAATGCAATTTTATTTGTAGTAAAAATATAATTTTATTATAATAGTGTAAATTGTTTTTGTCACGCCTGTACCGAAAGTTTGGTTTTCGATAAAGGTTGAATCGTTGGAATTGGAAAGCGTCAATTTTCCGTCCAGCCGACGGTAAAGTGGAAATTCCAAAAAGTGCTGTATACCCTGCATAAATAACAGACACTGAAATCTATACCACGGTCGTCTGTCCTTACAAAACCTAAACTTTTGGTTACATCTTATAATCATACTATATGTATAACCACCATGAGTGACGCTTAAAATAAAACCAAATCGTTTCTTTCATGAAATAGTGTTGTCGTATAATTATAGTTTAGGTGTTGCATAGATCCCTGCATTACCTTTGCCGTGATCGATGAATGCAGAGGCATGACAAAAAATAGTATGTGTGGCTCATGTGGGCAGGCAATTTCAACCTTACCACACAATATACTATTTCAAGGGGGAACCTACATTTTCTTTTGCACCAGGGCCCTCAGAGTTCAAGATCCGGCACTGGTCCAACCGTCAAATTCTGATTGCACCATTGCTCTTAAATAGTTAAAATGAGTAAGTTCCAAAAAAAAAAAAATCCAAAAATTTGCATGGGGTGGTAAAATGCATTTTTCTATACACAATTGATTATATTAATTCACCATAGGTAAAAACGACAAACTTGGTATAACTTTGATACTCTAGTTAAATCATACACTTACGTAGTTACGAACAGCACGGGCTCCGCCGTCCGCGATCTATCTATTATGGCTAGAACTGCAAATAGATTGCCAACCTTATAATATACTGCTGAGGATCAGAATTTTTATCCAGGCAAAGTTAAGATAAGTTTTGAACACCATACACTAATACACCGTACATTAAATGACGAATCGAACAAAGTTTGAGTCGTATAGAGTTGGTACATTTAACGGGCAATGAAGTGCATAGGGGATCAGGATTTATTTATTAATAAATGAGAAGGTGTACCCATTAGTAATAATAGTACAGTAAGTAGAAACTCGATTTGGAAAATATAATAGTGAAATTAAATGATATGATGTTTTGAATGAGTTATAAAATTTTTAAAATTAATCGTATTCCTGTTTATGAATCCTAACATCTTAAATGATTTTTAACGAAAGCATTAATACGTAATATTATAGGTACCTAGTGGCTAGTATGTACACAGACGACAGAGTGACAGACATAACATTTTTTTGTGGTTGGGTGGATAAAAATAATTCTTAGCACTGCAGTGGGCTTATTGTTTTAAAATGATTCGCCACACTACTGCTTACAGCTACCTATGTCTAATATTCAGTGTTCATTGTCCATCAACATTGCTACTGAACAGTGTTGTAGGTTGTAGTACCTACCTACTTACTTTGGTGTACCATATTATTAGGTACCTAATCATTGTTTCCTACATAGGTACCTACCTACTTACCTACTAAATTTTAATAGGTAACACGATTACATAATATATACCCAAGTAATTATTATTAAAGTGTTATTTATAATTTCATACTATGTGTAAATTTAATTTAATAATTTTTACTTTTAATAATTTTATCAATGATATTACATTATAGACATTTTCAAATATATTTTTATGTTTTTAAAACATGGAAACTGAACAAAAAACATTAGACAATTTCATCAAGAACAGAAAACGGCCTGTCAACGATCATGACTTATGTAAAAATGAACTGATGAACAATACTGTTGAAATTAACAACCTTAGTATAAAATTATCATTTGATGGTCCTGTACTTCAAAGCATTAAAAAGCAAAAGGTTAGTTGAAAATAATATTTAAAGATATAAAGACATGGCTATTCATATCCAATTTTCATCTGTTATTACATTTTTACAAGTGAATATTAATAATAATTGTTATCCTATTATAACTACTAAAAATATCACTTCTGTGCAGCAAAATATTAAGGCCTGACAATATTTCCTCAATTTAAATACATCTACCATTAATTTGTATCAAATAGAAATTTAAACTACGTAAGTACCTAGGTATCTTGTTTTAAATAATTAGAACACATGAGTCATGGAAATCATTTAAACATCATATAAGTTAGTAATTGTGAATTTGTAATGCTTTAGCTATTTATAGTTAGACAGGTACCTATATAATTTTTTTAGATGTTTTTTTTTTAGATTTGATTCTTGCAATGTCATCAATGATATCTTCATGATCTAATTATTATGAGTGATGACATTATACCTATGTTAATACGGTCAATGAATTTAGTCTTTCTTTCAATATATAATGTATCGTAGGTACATAATGTTTCATTCTCTATAAAAAAGGAAAACAAATGTTTGGTTAGGTGTTAGTGTAGAGATAAATATCCAAAGGGAAGATTTAATACTTGAATAAAGGTCATTCATACAACGTTTATAAGTTACTAGTGGTGTAATTTTCTTTTCATTATCACATATTACAATTATTTATTTGGTAGAAACCAAAAACTAAGTACCTACCTACCTAGTTTGTTAAAAATTAATTTTTTTTATGGCTATTTTGTAGATCCAACATTAATTTGCCTAAGTCATTATTTCTGAGTCTAAGTCTAGTTTAAATTTAAATTTGTGTAATTTAGTAAGAAAATCAAAAGGCTTACCTACAGAATATTTCATAAGCTTTTCAAGTACTTTTATATTATCAAATCAGGGACAAAACCAACTAAGCTATCCCAGACAGCATTTGCCGTCTAGGATATATTCTATAATATTAATATATAGATTATATATAGGTACCTACAATCTACATATAGGCTCTAAATGAATTAAGTGTATACTGTAAATAAGTATGAACATATACCTATATTCCAATATTTGAGTAATATTCAAGTTATAAGTAAAAAAAAAATACATATTAAAATTGTAAAATTAAATTTAAAACTTTATTTTTCTTATAAAAAAGAAAAAAATAATTCTTTAAGAAAAATGTCATTGCATAGTTTGTTTCCTAATTCCTCCATTGATATTGAACATGTCTTAAATCTAAATTTTACTACTTGTGTGGTAATAATATTTGAGTCAAATCATTTATTTATTATCATTTATTACTAAATAATATTATCCTCAACAAGATGCATTTATGACTAATGAAAAGCTTTATTATTTTGTGAAGCATAACACAATCTAAGTACAGTAGAACCTCGACTATCCAAACTAATTGGAACTTCACCTAGTCCAGAAACGTGAAAGTTCGGGTACTGGGATTTTTTTAATACTATCTATTATGTACATGTAGATATTTTATATAATATACTGAATATGTTCATACAATCACTGAAAAACATACATACCTAATATTATATTGATATTTATAATTTGTTATTATTAATAATATTGAATTATTACCTATATGGCTATATACATTAATTTATGATAAATAAATACATAATTACATATACAAGAGCTATAACGCTTATTGACGTTCCAATAACAGAGTTTTTAGATGCGTAAATTGCATTTGATATTTATTCGGATAATAGAGCCTAGAGGGTTCATACAATGGAGGTTCAGATAATTGAGGTTCTACTGTATGTATAAATCTTATTTATATGATTAAAAATTATTTATAACATATGAGTAGAACACAAAAAAAATAAATAGATACATATTATTTGATAAATATAATATCAAATTTATTGTTGATTTGTTGTTTTATTATTTTTAGATTGAAAATGGTGTAAAACTTAAACACACATTGCATGTTTCTAATGCAGTTAATAATAATTTTTTAGAAGAAAAAGAAAAAAAATACGGTGTTAACCCAGAGAAAACTATAACTCCTGAACAATCACCATCCACTAAGACTCAATTACGACAAGTATGTATACTTGTATATCAATACTCATTTTATCATTCGATATATATCTGTTATTTTAAAATATATTTATAACAAATTTAAAATTATCAATAAAGAATAGTAGGTATTAATATTTTATTATTATAATTACAATTTGTATAAAGCATAATTTAGTAAATACTTAGTCTTTAACAACAAAAAATGCTAACACTACATATTTTTGTAAAATTAAGTATAACGAATTGAACGCAAAGTTATTATTGTTTACAAGAGTGTATGGCGGAAAAGAAATTGTATACAAGATAAGTGCCAAAACAATAATCCCTGCTAAATATTATTATATTTCTTGTTTGTTATCATATTGTTATTTAACATTTCTCAATCTGTATTTAGTTCCTATATACAACTATACAATGTTTGGACATTAGGTATGTTATATTTTCTACGTTTATAATCAAAATTTGGCCCTGTTAATTCGACTGGGCGAATATCAATACTCACAGGTGCCACTCTATTTAAATTGTTATCTTGTTATCTTATGTCTATTATAAACATAATATACAACTCTGGAGGTAAAAAGTTCTATAAATTATATTTTCGGGTGACAACATATTATGTTTGTTTTTTCAGTGGAAAAATGTTCAATTTCTATTATAAACAAGTAATATGATATTATTTTTTGAAATTACCTTAGGTTGAGTTGGCAGGTTTAAGTATTATTTTGAATGAAATTGTATTACTGACTTAGTATAAGTACCTACTCAGTATTATTGGGAGTTTGTGGGATAAAAAAAATATTGATTTTATTTAAGTCAAGAAAGAATAAAGGGGATAATAGTTCAACTAAGTATGGATTCATATTAATTTGATATTGAAATATATTATTGATATTTAATTATAATAATATTATGTTTGATGTATATTTAATTTCAAGAAATTAATTTTGGAAAGGAAAGTGAATATTTTTCCAAAAAAAGGTTAAGTAGGTACCCATAGGTTACAATTTAAAAATTATAAGTTATTAATATGGTGATGTTGTTTTATGGCACTTCAAAGTTTTGAAAATATTGTAAATGTTACAAATTGTAAAATTACTTTGATGATATAATTACATTTTTAAATGAACATATAAAAAGTATCTTGATTTTGTTAGTTGTCAGATAAAATACGGTAATTAATATTATATAACTTTTTTTAGATTTTGGATTTAGGTGAATTTAATAAAATTGTTTGTTGTAAGCAAAACATTAAAAAACTTCAAGAAAAGCTTCACTTGGTAGAACAATGTCAAAATGATCTTAAGTCTACAGAATCTGAAGTTGAAACAACTAAATATAATTGTTTACCTATGTCTGAATCAAATGATTTCAAGATTAGTACTAGTTCAGTAAAATATTCTCAACAAAAACCATTATTTCCTAGTCCTAGAAGAGTAATGATGGACCATCAGCCAAAACTGACTAAAATATTACTTAATGATGTTGGATCTGTTATGACTATTTCACCATCAAAACAGTATTCTGCGTTGACAGATTCTAAAACATTACCTTTGCCATTGAAATTTCGAATTTTGAATGAAATGTTTAAAGTTATGGAAACAGTATTATCTATGAGATTTTCAAGAAAAGAAAAAATAACATTTTATAAGCTCAAACAAAATATTCAGCAAATAACTAAAAAGTAATAGACATTGTTCAAATAATCAAATATACTTTTATTTTAAACTGGACTGATATCTTGCATTCTAATATCTGATAAATCAATATATAGGTTCATAATAATCTGCCATTTAAACAAAAAAAATATGTATTTTTTTTTATTTATCTAGTTATTATATTCTAGTTGTAAATATAATATATTAAATTTACTTAAACACATTAACTATAATTTATAAATAATTCCTACAATCGAAATATGCACTAAATATGAAATACAGTAGAACCTCAATAATCCAGACTAATTGGGGGGCTCTAGGTTGTCCGAATTAATGATAGTCCTGATTAAACAAAATAACCAAAGATCATGTTTGTATTTTAGATTTGAGAATATGTATTATATAATGAAAAATTGGATAACGTGAATGACAATATTATGTTATTGGATTTTGTAGAAATAATTGCGACCACATGCATTTATGGGAAATTCATAGAACTCGTTTTTGTGTTTATTTTAGTCAGCTGCTCAAACCACGCGTTTACGTGTTATGTACTTATGTCTGTTATTAAATGGCCATCCGGATTAAGCGAAGGCTGGTCTAATGGGATCCGAATTAATGAGGTTTTACTGTACCTATATTTATAAAAAGTTATGAAACCTTATAGATATACTTTTATAAAAACTTGGCACTTGTCATTCCAAAATTCATCAAATAAGAATAGCTACAATTATTTGTTATGATATTATTAATTTAAATTTAGTAGTCAACTATATCAAGGTGTATATATTATAAAAGAAAATTATATTTTTTGTAATTATACACTAATATAATATAGAGTCAAATATCATGGAGTCAGTCCAGTTATTTTAAACTATTGTCAATAAGTATAACTAATAATTATTCAATATTATTTTCCAGGAATTTTACTTTATTACATTTGGCTCAAATTAAAACCATTGTTCCCGACTTTTTCCAGTTTTCCTTAGTGAAATCATCAAAAGGCAAATTTAGTATTGATTTAGTAATAGCTCCAGTTTATGGTAGTTACTTATTTATGATGTATGTCTTATGAATATTGAACAACTTTTATATTAATTAGGTTTAGCACACAAAGATAACATTGACCTAGTACAACTAACAATTCGGAGAAAAAACACATTTTATAATGCGTTAATAGACATTATGAAAGTACACCATGCAGTAAGTAAAACCTTAATTTAGTAAAGGAATACCTAATTAGCTTAATTCAAAAGAACTATTTTTTATTTTCAAGGAATATTTGAACCAATTAATTCCTCCTATCTTCATTGATAAAGATAAAATTACCAGATGGCACCCTGAGTTTGATGTTGAATCTGTGCCAAATATCAATCCATCGCCATTGCCTAAGATTGAAATTGATAAGTCAAAAATATCAACTGCAAAAGACATATTAGGTACAAATCATAAAAAAAAATATTGCATAACTCTTATTAGGTAGTTATTAGTTTTTACTGTTTTTTTTTTTAGATCAAACACATGCATTGTTTATTTATAATAGTTGTTTAAATCGAGCCCCTACTGCAATAATGAATGAAAACCACAACAATTTAATTGAAATAAAATTACCTACAGAAGATGCAAAAAACACCTTAAGAAGTGCACTTATTGGCATTCCTAAATTATTTTTAACTAAGGTAAAGTGTCTTTATTTATTTTTGATCTCTATTTTATATGTTTAAGTACCTATTTATGTTTAGATCCAATCTAAACAAATTGAAAAAGCAAGAGGACTAATGACGAGGTCAGTTAGTCAATTAAATGAAGATAAAATGATGATCAGATTACCAGACATTGCTCGGAGAATGCGAACTTACTTTGTACAACTTCAAAGAAATGTCATGCCACTAAAAAAAGTTATTGACCAATTAAAACAAAGTTATCCTGAGGCTATGACGGACAGTAATTGAATTGTCTTTATTATTTAATATTTTATGTCATTATATATTTTTATTCCAGAGGATTGGGAAACTCACTTAAATCTTCTTCAAGAAAAAGTACCCCACTGGGCTATATCAAAAATAGTAGATGGAACTCAATACATTCGTGTTGATAAAAAAACTAATTTTGAAGAATGTGTGATTAAAAAATTAAAAAATAATTTCTAATTATGAGTTATATTTTAATAAATTAATTGTTGTCTATAATTTTAAATTTAGTTTTATTTTTTATAACATATTTTTCATTATTTTATTTTTATTGAATATCACATTTTGTATTCTATGTTAAACAATTCATTATTATTTGTATTGTTAATATATAATATTAGGTTCATGTAAAAGTTTTAAGTTTATAAGATACATTTAAACATTTTACTATTTTAGTATGACTATCTTAATATATTATATATGTATAATTTTAGGTTTCCAAACAACTTTGGTTTTTAATGTGTTTTTATAAATTGTATTTTATGGTAGATATTTTCTCCCATTTTGAGATATTTTTTTCTCCAAAAAATGTACAATATTAAATAATTATAAAACTTCATCTATTATGAATTTTTATTTAATTTTGCACATTTTTAAGTAAACAGTTATTTCTAGTAAAAAAATTAAGGTTTTGTAATGTTTTTATTAACTTAAGAAATTTCTAAAACTCAATATACCTAGGTGCTAGATACCTACTGATAAATCACTTGTGGCTTGTCTATTCCTTACTCAATGCAATATTACCATCATTACTAAACATGAGACATTTCGAATCTCAACAGCAGCTCCCCTACAAATGTTCCTAGAATTTATCTACAATATATACATGCAGGGGCGAGGGGCGTCATTTCAGTTCTTACTAGACTAAAGCAACTTTTCACTGCTTTTTCGACTCAACATTTTTTTCACTCAGATTCTTATAGCATAGTGCCTTAGTGGTCAAGTGGGGGGGGGGGTTGTTCAGTTGTTGGCAAATGTTCTGAATTAAGGTTGATGTAAATACTAGATTGGGGCAAATGCCCCAATCCCCAACCAAAATGACGCCACTGTATACATGTATACAATAACGACTTTAATACTCATTTAACAAATATATTTTAATTAAAGTAGGTATAGCCGTATAGGCATTTAAAGATCGAATTTTGACAAAATTTAACAATTTAAAATTGAATAATTATTTTGTAGTTAAAAATGTATAAAATGTTCAACTTTTACATCTAAGGATGGAAAATTTAAAACAAGATTCCACGTAAGTAGTTAATTCTGTTACCAAAAAATCTAAAAAATACATAAGTACAGTTTATTTTTATAGTCATTTTACGTTCAAATTTGGAGGAAATTACATATTAAAAACCTAGAATAACTATTTTAGTTATTTTGTTGTGATTGTATAATATTATTCGTGGGTACTTGAAACTTCTAAAGTATACTTGTATACTACTATATGTCTATGACAGTATTAGGGTTTGTTGTTGATGTATAACGCGATATAAGTACCTAATGGATATTATGATAAGATTAATTTGGAATTTATTATAGGTACCTACCTATTATAGGTCAATTTTTTTTAATACCTACCATAGACATGTATATAATATGTCTTATACCTAGATTGACATACCGTCTCCGCTCAGAATCGTTTTTCTTATACAATGATATTATATCATTGAATTCAAACTACTGTAAACTACTGTACTTGTAAACTACTGTACAGCAGAGCGACTTTTTTTGGAATGAATCTTTAGTTTTAATTTGAATTCAATGATAAATCATTAGCCATTACATATGAAAAATGATTATGAGCGGAGAAAGTCTATAGCGTTTTACTTTTTTTAGATTCTGAGCGGAACGATGAATGTATTGATTTTACAATGAAGTGTTTTTTAGTTTTATTTTTGTGTCTGTTATCAGGTTTGTAGCAGTTTTACTGCTCCGATTTCTTCCACAATAACTTGTTCGATGGGAAAGTGAATCTATAGTTGGTACATTCGGGAGGTCAAAATAGTTAAGGAAAACCTGGAATTTTTACGCAAAATCGGTTTTGGTTTTTGGCGTAACTCTAAAACAAATGACCTCTTAGATATAGGTACATGACATTTAAACTTTTTCACTGAACATTTATATTAGCATTTGCTATACACCATCAAATATTCAAAATATATATACGATATACCTATACTAGCTGAATAACTCGGCGTTGCCACTTACCCAAAAAAAAATTGTAATTAACTTCGTTGGGATGTAATTCGAGGTGCATATCGAAGCAAAATTATATTTTATTTTAATTTTAGCCATCCCGTGTGGAGTTTTCCTTGAGTCTCACTTATAATAATTATGCAAACAGTATATTATCAGGTAACCAATCTATCTGCGTTAGATTGCGGGCACAGAGAGGTCGTGGGAGATAAAAATATAAAATATATCCTATAGATTTTTAGTTGAAAAAAATGTTTATACAGAGTACCTAGTACCTACCTAAAATAGTATTGAAGTCATAGTTGATCATCCTAGATTTTTAGAAGTATTTAATATTTATATATTAATTATTAATATATATTGGGTGTTATTTTATTTTTATTTTTTAGGACAAATCGGCGTGATTGTAGCTTTGTGAAATAATTCGCATGTATAAGCTGCAACCAAAGGCTAGGTACCATTACAAGAACGTCGCACCCTCATGTGTTGTCTCCGTCTTACACACGTACGATATAGACAATTTTCGTTCGCTAGTTTCAATAGGGTGCTGTCATTTTTGATTTTAGAGTGAATTGACCTATTATCAAACTTTTACGTAACAATATTATCTGTGTTCTCTATTTGGTTTTTTTACGATATTAGATTATTAGATGAATGTATTGATTTTACAATAATGTGTGTTTTTTTTTTGTGTCTGTCATCACGTTTTAGGACAGTAAGTCAGTAAAAGTGCTTTGATTTTCTTTAACAGTATCTTTTCTGATAGGATTGATAGGAAAGTAAATCTAGTTGGTACTTTGAGGGGTCAAAAGCAAAAAAATTCACAGTAGTTTTCACAAGCGCCGGGAAAAACAACAAAATTAAGGAAAAACGAGAAAAAAATCGATTTTGGTTTTTGGTGTAACTCTAAAACAAATGAACGTATATAGTACATACATGACATTTTCACTGGTTGCTTATATTTGCATTTTCTATACACGATAACATTTTCTAAATATTTTGATTTATTTTGAACTGTTTAGGGACATTTTCATTTTCCATTTTTATTAGTTTTTTTTTTATGAATATCAATAAAATTTTATTTGTTGGTTAAAAAAGCTTGAAAATTTAATAGAAGGCTCCTAGTATATTTTTCAAAGGCAGATGAAAAATATTAAAATATCTTAGTCACAGTTTTTTTTTATAAGCATTTAAAGTTCAAAAATTGACAAAATATTGAAAAATCACGAAAATTATCAAATTATTTTGAGTTAAGAATTCATAAAAATTTTTCTTTTTAATTCTAAGATTTGAAAATGTAATACAAGATTCCTTATAAGATTATCTACCTTTATCAAAAAAAAAAAATGTCTATAAGAAAGTCAAATTAAATTTTTATGAGCGTTTGAAATTCAAATTTTTACAACATTGGATATTCACTAGATTTCTCATGTATCGATTTCCTTATTTTGTTGTAATTCAAAAACGAACAACTGTATAGATACATGAATATTTCACTGAATGTTTAAATTAGCATTTTCTATACACCATACAATTTTGAAAATATTTTGACTCTTTTTGAGCTGTTTACGGACATTTTCAGTTTTAAATTTTTTAGTTTTTTTTTCTATAAATATCAATTCAATTTTATCTGTTGGGTCAAAAAGTGTAAAAATACAAGGCTCCTGATATATTGTAACAATAGCAATTGAAAAATATTAAAAATACATAGGCACAATTTTTTTTTATAAGTATTTAAAGATCGAATTTTGACAAAATTTATCAAATTTAAAATTGAATAATTATTTTGTAGTTAAAAATGTATAAAATGTTCAAATTTTATATCTAAGGATTGAAAATTTTAAAAAAGATTGCACGTAAGTAGTTAATTCTGTTACCAAAAAATCTAAATAATACATAAGCACTGCAGTTTATTTTTACAGTCATTTTAAGTTCAACTTTGGACAAAATTACATATTAAAAAACCTAGAATAACTATTTTAGTTATTTTGTTGTGATTGAATAATATTATTCGTGGGTACTTGAAACTTCTAAAGTGTACTATTATATATCTATGATAGTATCACGGTTTTTATTGATGTATATAACGCTTATAAGTACCTAATGGATATTGTGATATGATTAATTTGGAATTTATTATAGGTACTTATTATAGGTCAATTTTTTGTTTAATACTATAGATGTGTATATAATATGTCTTATACCTAGACTGACGTACTGTCTCCGCTCAGAATCGTTTTTCTTATACAATGATATTATATCGTTGAATTCAAATTTAATATCATCCATTATACAATGACCCACTTGTAACCTACTGTACAGCAGAGCGACACCCACTTGCCTACCTTTTTTTAGTTTTTTTGTATAATTGTCAATAAAATTGTATTTGTTGGGTCAAAAAGAGTGAAAATTGAATACAAAGCTTCTGATATATTGTTACAATAGCAGTTGAAAAATATTAAAAATACATAGGCAGAATTTTTTATACAAGCATTTAAAGTTCGAATTTTTATAAAATGTATGAAATTGAAAATTGAAAAATGATTTTGTAGTTAAATGTATAAAATATTCAACTTTTATAGCTAAGGATTGAAAATTTAAAAGAAGGTTCCATGTAAATAGGTTATATATTATAAATTATTTTATTTACAATAATAGCATAAAATACACCTAGTACCTAGTTAGTAATATCATAGGTGGACTAATCGTCTTCGCTCAATATCGTTTTTCTTATACAATGTTATTATACATTGAATTCAAATTTAACACTGTCCATTACAGTGACCCACTTGCCCACAATTTTATTAATTATTCTACTAACTAAAACTGTAAGGTAATAATATAATAAATAAGCTGCAGCATCGGTGGCTAGAAAAATGTGTTAAAATAGGTAAATGCAAGTTGCAACAAAATAATTGACTATTTTGTAATCGTTGCCGGACTTCAGATTACCGGACTGGGATTTATCTATTACTAACTAATTT